AGCTGTGACCAGTTAACATAGGTTCTGGGAATCAAACCCAGGTCCTCTGGAGGAGAAGTGAGTGCCATTAATCTTTCCAGCTTGAGAACTTTAAAAAAATATGTATGATGTATGTAGGGGGTGGGCATGTTTATAAGGATGTTTGTATGTATGCAGGCAAACGTGTGTACATGTGTATGAGCATGTGTGTGGAGGCCAGATATTGACATCATAGATGTCAATATTTTTCTCCACTTGTTTCACTGAGTCAGGGTCCCTCACTGAACAGAGGGAGCTTGCTGCTGCAGTGGGTCTAACAGGTTGTCTGGTTTGCCTCTGGGTCTGCTGTGACCTCCTGGTTGGAGATTTGAACTCTGCTCTTCTTGCTTGCATGGCAAGAATTTTATCTACTTTGCCATTTCCCCAGCCCCAAGAATTCATTACATATTCAACACCTCATCCTGGTTCTTCTTTATCAGGAATGGAAAGATCAGGCTGCTTTTCCTTTCCGTGTTAAGGCTGGAAACCCGAGCCTTGGACACAGTAGGACCGCTGTTGCTTGGGCTTCATCCCCAGCCCTGGATTATTGCCGCTCAGCATACAGACTTTCCTTTGCAAGTACCCTAGCGTTGGGCCCCTGAGCTACCATCTGTTCACTTCCGGTCGCCTCTGTCCATGGCTACATCCGCAGTATCAGTGCATGGATCCCTTCTGTTGTCACACTTCAGCCAGTCTCCATACCTTGTTAATTCTTGCCTGGAATACATGTGACATAACATTCCCCCCCACTGTCAAAATCTTTCATCTCTCCCTGAACTCATAATCTGGTGTTTCTCCCCCTCCCCCCTCCTTCCCCTCTTTCTTCTTGTTTGTTTTTGATTTTTGAGACAGGGTTTCTCTGTGGAGCTTGGGCTGTGCTGGAACTCACTCTGTAGTCCGGGTTGTCTTCAAACTGACAGAGATTCACCTGCCTCTGTCTCCAGAGTGCTGGCATTCCTTGTTTTCAGTCACCACCTTCCTCCTCTTCTTGACAGCTCTTATTCTTCTGATATGTGAGTCATTGTATAGCCTAGACTAGTCTTGACCTCCTTCTGCCTCAGCATCTCGAGTCCTGAAATTATAGATCTGAGCCACTATTGTGTGATTTTTTTTTACTCTTTTGGTTTTGTGAGGGGCCCACCACCCCAAATAAACCACACATGGAGTATTATTATTATTTATGAATGCTTGGCCTTAGCTTGACTTGTAATTTACCAGCTTTTCTTAAGTTATCCCATCTACCTTTACTGTTTACTCTATGGCTGGCTGGGCGGCTGGGCGGCTGGGCGGCTGGGCTGCTAGCCCCTGACATCCTTGTTCTCTTGCTGCTCCCCTACTTCCTCATTTCTCCTTCTATTTATTCTCTCTGCCTACCAGTCCCTCCTATCCTTGCTCCTGCCTCGATAGGACCTTTATTAGGGTCATCAGGTGTTCTAGACTGGTAAAGAATCACAGTGTCACAGAGTTAAACAAATTCAGCATAAACAAAAGTCACACACCTTAAAATAATATTCTATCACCAGCTACCATGCCTGGGATGCCCTTTGATATTTTCTTTTCTTTTCTCTTTCTTTTCTTTCTTTCTTTCTTCCTTCCTTTCTTTCTCTTCCTTCTTTTTTTGAGACAGTATCTCTCTGTAGCCTGGTACTCTTTATGTAGACCAGGTTGGCTTGGAACTTACAGAGATCCATCTGCCCTTGCTTCCCACATGCTGGGATTAAAAATGTGTGCCACTAAGCAGGTCTTTCTTTGTTTTTTATGGACTTGTCTAGCTATGTAGCCCAGACTGGCCTGGAATTTGCCATCTTCCTCCTTTTGTTTCCAGGAATTATAGATGCAACTTGAACATCTCTTTTAAAATATCTTATGCTTGCCCTCTGTGAATTCTTAGTTTATAACCTTTCTTTACTTTTCTACTGGGTCATATGTTCTTTATTTGTTGAGTTTTTGAGATTCCCTGAGTGTGTGTGTGTGTGTGTGTGTGTGTATCCTCTTTGTTTTGCCAGAAATCATGTATTCATGAGCATACCTGGAATCTACTAATATTCCTCTATTCCAGCACTTAGGAAGTAGAAGCAAGAGGATCAAGGTTAAAGGTCATCCTTAATTAAATAACTAGTTCAAGGTCAACTAACCAAAGCGAAAGGACTACAGAGATGGCTCACTTACTGGCCAGCAGTGATGGCGCACACTTTTAATTCCAGCACTAGGGAGGCAGAGGCAAGCTGATCTCTGTGAGTTTGAGGCCAGCCTGGTCTTCAAAGCGTGTGCCAGGACAGCCTTACACACACACACACACACACACACACACACACACACACACACACACACACAGTAGGTAAATACATAAATAAAAGAGCACTTACTGTTTTTCCAGAGAAATCTAGTTTAGACCCCAACACCAACATCACACAGCTCACAACCACCTATAATCCCACTCCACCCTCTTTTGGCCTCCACAGACACGTGTGGCACACACACACACAGACACATGCACACTCGTAATTTTAATATTGTAAAAACAATAGTTTCGGGGCAGAACATTGTATGGGTCAGTGTCACTGAATGGCAGAGGGGCTGGGCAGGACTTTGGTTTGCTCCTGCATAACTGTGTGGCTGTTCCTCAGGGACGAGCTGGCCCAGCTGCCCTTCCTCACCATGTGCATCAAGGAGAGTCTGCGGCTGCATCCTCCGGTCACAGTGATCTCCCGCTGCTGCACGCAGGACATTGTGCTGCCAGATGGCCGGGTCATCCCCAAAGGTGCCCTCGACGTTATCAGTGGGAGGAGGGGTCTAGGTAGGATGGTGGTCCCCAGAAACAACGTAGACCTTTTCCTCATTGTCTCCTTACCCAACAGGGAATGTCTGCGTCATCAGCATCTTCGGGGTTCACCACAATCCTTCAGTCTGGCCAGACCCTGAGGTGTGACCCTGCTCTTTCCCTAACTCTGGGACCTGGGGAAGAGGGTTACCTGGGAAACCAGAGCTATCATCCCCCTTCCTCTGTCTGTTTTCTGCGGCCAGCTGAATGTGGGGAGAGCCACGTTAGCATATCTTGCCCGGCTTGCAGGTCTACGACCCTTTCAGATTTGACCCAGAAACTTCACAGAAGAGGTCACCTCTGGCTTTTATTCCCTTCTCAGCGGGTCCCAGGTGAGGTCAGTGGTCTTGGGGTAGGGGGCGAGGGGCATCTGGGTCTGACAATGAAGGCAGGACAGTTGCGTGGGTCAGGGTTTTGGGGATCCTTACCGACCTTTGCATGGGTTATATGCCAAAGTCTGCAAAACCCGGGTTGCAAGGTCAAAGGCTCTGTACTCTGAGCCCGCCCTGGTCTGGTTTGGCGCTGAGGCTATGGCAGGCCCCAATAATAGGGACCATAGTGCAGAGTCCCAGGCACATCAGCGACCCCCTGCCGCTCAAACTGACCAGGCATCGGGTGGAAGGGGTGGTGCTCAGGTTGGGTCCGAAGGTGCCTGACTGGGTCTCAGTGCAGTCCCTACCCTGTCCTCCCGCAGGAACTGCATAGGACAGACTTTTGCCATGACTGAGATAAAGGTGGCCCTGGCGCTGACACTGCTGCGCTTCCGGGTCCTGCCCGATGACAAGGAGCCCCGCAGGCAGCCGGAGCTGATCATGCGCGCGGAGGGCGGGCTGTGGCTTCGGGTGGAACCGCTGAGCTCGGGTGCACAGTGACCCCCCCACCCACCCGCCTACCTCTTTGAATTTCTGAACAAGTAGAGCTGTCTCCGGTGCCTGAGCGGCGGGGAGCATCAGCCCAGAATGTGTGCCTCCATGGTGATGATGAGTGTTCTTCTGGAGCTCAAGCCTAGACCCTCATCCCCTGGGCGCCACCGGCGGTGTTTTGAGGAGAGGGGAGCAGGCTTTCCAGCTGAACGGATTCTCTATGGTCATTGAGGCAAACTCTTAAATTTACTACCTTTCCACCTTTATTCTCTTTTCGTCAAACTTAGAGTCATCCCTGCTTCTGTACTTGCGGTGTTGCACTTAAAGGAGTGGACCACTGCATTAGACCTGGCCTGTTAAGGGATGGTTGTAGAATCTGAAGAGTCTTCCTCAAGTGTGAGGAATCTTGGGACCCTGGAGGATGGTGTGAAATGATGTTCAGGACTTGTGATGGCTAAAGCAGCTAAATTTTACATGAAGTCATACTGACAGGCTCCCCAGCTTTCTTTTGCCTTTTCCGAAACTGTTCTTGTCCATTAAGCTTCCCACTACCTGCCGGAGGGTCTAACAAAGTAACCTTAACGAGTCACTTCCAGGGTTTGACTTTTCTTCTCCGATCACAAAACCATTAAAACTGAGTTTCAGGGGCTGAAGAGATGGCTCAGAGGTTAAGAGCACTGGCTGCATTTCCAGAGGTCCTGAGTTCAATTCCCAGTAACTTACATGAGGGCTCACAACCATCTGTAGTGAGATCTGATGCCCTCTTCTGGCATGTAGGTAAACATGCAGTATACATAATACACTGTATACATAATAAATAAAATAAGCCTTAGGAAAAAAGTTAGGTCTTGGCTTTTGCTCTAGGCTAACTGACATGCTTAGTTTAAAAAAACATAAAACCCAGAGTTTCAGTTGGTCATGGTGGCACATGCCTATCCTGCCAGTATTTGGGAGGCTGAAGCAGAGGGTTGCTAGAGACCAATGGTTGAGGTCAGCCTTTGAGACATACAGTCTCGAAGAGGGCGGAAGTCTGTTGGTAGAATGGTTGCCTAGCATGCAGGAAGTCCTGGGTTCCATCCCCAACATTCCATAATCTGGACAGGGCGTTACAAGTCTAAAATTTAGCCCTTGAGAAATGGAGGCAGGAAGATCAGAAATTTGCGGTCATCCTCGGCTACACAAGTTCCAAGTCAGCCTGGGATACAGGAGGCACTGCCTCAAAAACATTTAAAATAAATACTTTTGCTGAGGAGTGGTGGCGCACACCTTTAATGCCAGCACTCGGGAGGCAGAGGCAGGCAGACCTCTGTGAGTTCGAGGCCAGCCTGGTCTACAGAGTGAGTTCCAGGACAGCCAGGGCTGTTAAACAGGGGAAGCCCTGTCTTGAAAACCAAAATAAATAAATAGTTTTTTTTCCTTTTCTAATGTGAGAAATGGCTTCAGAGCAAAAGTCTATGTCAAGTCTATTTTATTTTTAGTTTTCTACCCTCACCTAAATTATTTTTTATGTTTTCTTTTGCTTTTTAAGGGGGACAGTTTAACACATACTCCCCAACTGAGCCAAACTCCCATCTGACGCCTAACTGTTATCTTTTCATGCCATGTATTCACTTAAAGAACTGGGAAAATATTCAGGATTGAGAGCTGCAAACAGCCAGAAACATAGCCCAAATGACTTAGCTTACTGTGAATTGAAACAAGTCTCACGTGACATTATTTGTTTGTTTACAATTATTTGAGACAGGGTGTCACTGGCTTGGTGCTTGCTATGGAGACCAGGCTGGCCCCGAACTCATAGAGATGTATCCATCTCTGCCTCCCTGGTGTTAGGGTTAAGTTGTGTGCCTCCACTCCTGGCAGTTATTTTAGTTTAAACTCCATTTACTTATTCATTTTGTGTGTGTGTGGTGGACATCCTGGCTTCTCCCTGTCCCCGGGTCCTCTCCTTCTCCTGCCCCAATGGTTTTCCTTACTGCCCTCCTGTCACTCCATGCCAGCCCTCTCCTGGGCCTGGGCCTTCTCCTTAGGGAGTCTTTCCTAGTCGAAGGCCTCTGTATCCTCCAACTTTCTCCCTGCCCCAGGATTGCTCTTCTCCAGGCGACCTTCCCTCGCCCAGGGATCTATCTTTGACAGGTGATGGCCCCTCCCTGACAGCTCAAAGACTGTCAAAGGTTGCATGCATTAGGTGGCTGCCTAAGGACTCTGCGTGCAGAAACCATGAGGAACTGCGACCTCGCAGAGCTGGGCCAACGGCAGCTCCATGACTCCATCCAGTTTCAATGGCCCCAACAGCTGAGACTCTCCTTACAAACAGCTCCCCTTATAGGCGAACACCTTTCTCTCTTTCCATTTCTGCTCCCGATTGGTTCACACCTACCCCTCCCTTTGCTCCCTTTCCCAATAAACTCCACGTGGGTCTGTTGAGTCTGGTGGATCGCGTTTCATCACCCAAAGCTGCAGCAAAGACAACACGGGGTGCATGTGCCACAGTGCGTATGTGGAGGTCAGAGGAGAGCTCCGAGGGAGTCAGAGTCGCTGCGGAGACTCCAGCAGGTTTGGCTTCCCTGCTCAGCCGCTCCACAGCCCCTCAAGTGAGATTTTTACAGGGTCTTACTACACTGGTGATTCCTCTCTTGGCTGTGTTAGGGAGACCTTTGACTTTATACTTTTAGACCACAACCACCCACCTCGGAACCTGAAGGGAGCATCGCACAACAGGAAAGACTAAATAGAAGGGACGGGTGAACTCTGGGTTAGATTCCCTTAGGAATGTTGTGGTGCAGCCTTTGGGAGGAGAATAGGAAATGGATATTTCAGTTGTCGCTAGGTGGACTGTTTCAGTAACTACAACAGTTAGCTTTTGGCCACCATACTCATTGTTCCCATGATGTTTGTTTATTTATTTATTTGAGATTATAATGTAGTTATAACATTTCTCCCTTCCATTCCTTCCAAACCCTCCCATATATCCTTGCCCACCCTCCTTCAAATTCATGGCCTCTCTTTTATTGTTACTGTGTGCATAAATGTGTAAGTATGCACATACATGTTCCTAAATATAACCTGCTCAGTCTGGAGAGTTACTTGTATGTATGTTTTTAAGGCTGACCATTTATTTATGACAGGTGCAAGCCTTTATCTTAGCAATCAGGAAACTGAGGCAAGTGAAACTCGTAAATTCAAGGGTAGCCTGGCCTACATAGCAAGTTCCAGAACAGCCAGAACCACATAGAGGGATCCTGACTAAAAAAAAAAAACAAAAAACCAACTTCTTTTTATTTCATGTGCATTAGTGCACTGCATGTGTAAGCATAGATGCCCACAGAATCCAGAAGAGGGCATTGGATCCATTGTAACTAAAGTTACAAGCAGCTGTGAGCTGATATGGTGATCCTCCGAGTAGAACCTTGGTCCTCTGCATAGCAGCGAGCGCTCTTACCTGCTGAGCTGTCTCTCCAGCCCTGTGACTCTGATAACCGTATAGTGTGTTTTGAAGGGAGCAATAGGGATTCTTCAATTACATTTTCATTTTCAAATAAGGTTTGCCATTCTGTGCCATTTGGGTTTTCATATAAATTTCATAATCAGATGAACATGGTGGTGCACACTTAGATCCTAGTACTTGGGAGGCAGAGGCGGGTGGATCTGGGGCGTTCCAGAAAACTTTGACATATGCGGTGAGACCCTATTTCAAAATTAATCTTATAATCAGTGTGTCTACTCCTGCAAAGAGTGCTGCTGGGATTTTGTTCAATCAATTTGAACTGGGATTTGTTTTAAATCAATAGGTCAGTTTGAAGGAAATCAGCATTTTAACATTGTTGACTCATCAATGAGCATTGTATGTCTCTCCATGTGTTTGGATCTCCTTGACTTTCATCAGTGCCCTGGGGTTTTCATCACAGATGTCTTACACATATTTTGTACAACTGAGTACACTTTTTATGGTGCCCATCAGCTTTAAAAAAATATTCTTTTTTGCTGGGCAGTGGTGGCGCACGCCTTTAATCCCAGCACTTGGGAGGCAGAGTCAGGTAGATCTCAGTTAAGTTCAAGGCAGTGAGTTCAAGGCCAGCCTGGTCTACAGAGTGAGTTTCAGGACAGCTGGGACTGTTCCACAGAGAAACCCTGTCTAGAAACAACAAAAACAAAAACAAACAAATAGAAACAAACCAAACATTCTTTTCACCAGGAAATACTCCTGTATGATGGAGCAAATTATTTCATAGAGTAACCTGTGTGCTACATTGTTTCATTTCCTTTTCTGAAGAGGCTTTGACGACTCTGCCTAGTATCACAATGCTCATGATGAGTTGGGAGATGGAGGTTAGTGGGTCTCTGGAACTGCTGCAGATGACTGTAATTCCTCAAAGACTCTAGTGCCTGCTTCTGCTGGGCTAGTGTGGGACTGCTCCCTCTATAGGACAGTTTGAGGACAGTAGGCACGAAGGAGACATCTTCATGGGTTAAATGTGTGTGTCCTTGGCTGCAGTGGGGATTCTGGGAAGGGCACATACCTTTTGAGGGTTCTTGAGACACTCCTGCTGTTCTTGCTGACTGAACTGAATGAGGCAGGTAGAGAGATGTGAGGCGGTTCCTAACATCCTACAGCATCAGGAGCCCTGACTCTCCCCCCAACCCTTTCCCTCATAGCAGTTCTGCTAGGGGTCTCACTATTTGAGCACTTGCTTTCTGGGACCAATCACAGAGCCTTGGACAGGTTCTAGGGTGGGTCAAAGGGGATCACGTGGTCTGGGCTAGGGGCTTGTCCTCCCTGAGCAGCAGCTAGCTCTTCTATTAAATGGGCATCTTCTCTCCTCTGGATGCCATCACTTGTGTCTCCCCACGTGACATCCAGGACTCTGGCCCAGACTGCTGAGGAGTGCATGGTTGGAAAACCTGAGGTGGCCTGCATGCAAGAATAGACACTTTATACCATCAAGGCATCACAGTCCTTTAGAGAGGCAGAGCCGGTACAATGATAATACATTACTAAGGGGTGTGTAAGCATGCATACTCAATTCTTGGCTGAGTCTGTATAGTGGAGAGGTTGAGATGTCTGTATGGTGAAGTTGAGAACCTTCTTCTTGTTCAGTCCATGGAGCCAGATGCCTCGTCTCAGCAGTTTGAAACTTGGAGGATACCTGAAGAATCACTGGTCTCCAGTCCACATTGGGAAAATGGCAAATCTAGATTCCAGTGTCTGCAAATGGTGGCAGATTCAAAGTAGATCTGCTTACCAGCAAGGAGTGAAAGTGGGCAGGAAAAAAAACACCATTTTTTTCCTCCAGACCTCTTTATATGGGGGCTGCAGTCGGGAGGTCCTGCCTTCTAGGGGAGGGTTTTCTGCTCCAGTTCATCTTTCCGGGAAATAGCTTCATAAGCCTGTCCAGAGCAGTGCCTCTTAGTTGATTCCAGATCCATTCAAGCTGGCAACCAAGATTAAGCACCACAGCCACCCAGTGTGCAGTAAGCTCATTTTGTGGAGAAGAGCCTGCACAGTGTTGTACTTTCCTGTACCGCTAGTTTAGATGTGTCACCTTGACACAAGCTAGAGTCATCAGAGAGGAGGGATCCTCAGCTGAGGAAATGCCTCCATGAGATCCAGATGTAAGGCATTTTCTCAATTAGTGATCAATGGGGAAGGGCCCAGCCCATGGTGGGTGTGGCCATCCCTGGGCTGCTGGTCCTGGGCTCTATAAGAAAACAGCTGAGCCAGCCATGGGGAGCAAGCCAGTGAGCAGCACCCTCCATGGCCTCTGCATCAGCTCCTGCCTCCAGGACCCTGCCCTGTGTGAGTCCCTGTCCTGACTTCCTCCAAAAACGAAGAACAATATGGACGTGTGAGCCAAATAAACACTTTCCCCCCAGCTTGCTTTTGGTCATGGTGTTCTGTGACAGCAGTAGAAACCCTGACCAAGACATTCCCCTACACACGCTACACTCTCGGCACGCAGGACTTGCTCACGGCAGCTCCCCAGTAATTACTCTTCCTTCACTCCTCCTTCTTGGCCCTCCATTTTCCTCCTCGAAGACTCAATGGACATCTCACTCCCCAGCTGTGAGACCGGCAGTCAAGAGAGCTGTCCATCCCCTGGAACAAGTTCCAGGACAGCCATAGCTACACAGAGAAACTGTCTGAAAAAGAAAAATCCCAGAAAGGTAGTGTAGGAAGAGGACTCACTCAGGGCCCCCTTGTTCTGCCCTCCCCTATGTGGGCCCCATCTTCTCAGAACCCTTTCCAGTCCTGCCCCACAGGTGCTGTCACCCCCCTTGGAGCTCAGCCCACCCCCGGTCACATTCTGGCATTCTACGCTCTTTATCTGTGCAACCTGACCTGGGTAATCTCCAGCAGGGCTGGGCTCCTTATCCCTGATCCTTTTCACCTGGACCCTGGTCTGATTAGACGCTAAGCCTTAGAGGAAGTCCGTGAACTTTCCCAGGCTGTGAGGTTGTCAGCAGGAGCATCACAAAATCTTAGTTCCACACCAAGAAATGTTGGACACCATCCTTCCACCTTGCAAGCTGCCCTGGGGCCAGGATGACCTGATCCTGGTCTCCTGGCCTCTGAAATTCTGTTCTTCTGCCTAATGTATCCTGTTCTTACAAGGGCATGGGGGCTGGACATGTGGTAACTCAGGATCACCATTGTCCACACCTCCATTCGTGTCCCTTATCCCAGAAGGGAGTGCCCAGGTTCTAAGGATCAAGTGCTTTACAGCTCTGATTGCTTTACCTTTAAACAAGGCCGGCCCTGCCCCCACATCTTGGCCACCTTCCCAAGCTAGGAGCAGGCAACTAGGTCTGGAATCTATTGATTGGTCCAGTTCAACCCTGCCACTCATAACATGACCCCTACCCCAGGTCAGGATCAAGGAACAGAGATATCCCAAAACAGGGTAGAGGGGGTTGTGGGAACGCACAAGAAGGTACCAAGCTGATGCTGGTGGGGCTCTAGGGTCCTGGCTCAGGATGGGTCGAACACTCCCAAAGCTGCAGGGAGCAGGTGGTCCAGGAGATGGGGATTTCTAGGCAACTGAGACAGGTCTGGAGTTGTCCTGTCTCTCTTTTCCATGTCTTCACAGATTAATCTCCTCTTCCTCCTCGTTGTCTTCTGTCCCCTTCTCATCCCTTGCCATGCATTTCCTTGAGTATCCCTCTTATTTTCTCTGTCCCTAGCCCAAGTAGTAGCTGTTCCTGTCCACTGTTCCTGGGGGTCCTTGTTCCTCTCTGAGCTTTTCTAAAACTATAAATTAGAAGCCTGGGGTTATAGTCCAGTTTATAGAGTGCATGCCCTAGCATTGAAGAGGATGGGGTGGAGAGATAGCTCAGCAGTTAAGAGCACTGACTGTTCTTCCAGAGGACCCAGGTTCAAATCCCAGCAACCCATTTATCATCACAGCTCACGAGTGTCTGTGACTCCTGTTCCAGGGCTTCTGGCATCCTCACACAGACATATATACAGGCAAAACACCAATGAACATATAATTCAATTAAAAATAAAAAAGAGGGCCCTTGGTTTGATCTCCTAGTCTGTATCAACTGAGAATTCTGGAGCACACCTGTAATTCCACTTAGGACTGGAATTGAGAGGTTTAGAACCTTAAGTTAGCATAAAATACTGTCTCAAAACAGCAAAATACACAAATTATGATCATATAGAAGAGTGAATATTAATTAAAGCAGTACTTGGGCTCCATTTTAGAAAAGGAAGGAGGTGGGCTGGGTGTGGTGGTGCATAGCTTTAATTCCAGCATTTGGGAAGCAGAGGCCAGTGGACCTTTGTGTAAGACCAGCATGGTCTGTAGAACAAGTTACACAGAGAAACCCTGTCTGAAAAAAATAAAAAAGAAAGAAAATAAAGAAAAGAAAGAAGAAAGGAAGGAAGGAAGGGAGGGAGGGAGGAAGGAAGGAAGGAAGGAAGGAAGGAAGGAAGGAAGGAAGGAAGGAAGGAAGGAAGGGAAAGGAATGAAGGGAACCAGAGAGATGGCTCAGCAGTTAAGAATGCCTGTCGCTCTTCCGGAGAACCATTTCCTAACACCCATGTCAGGTGGTCCACAACCACCTGAACACCAGCTACAGGGGAGCAGCTGTCTTCTTCTGGCTTCTGCTGGTATACATATGAGGGGCAGAGAGCACTCCCACGGTTCTTTATATTTTCTGTGTAAGTGTTCCAATAAACACCCATTTATCATTTATCTTGGGTCTAGTGAAATCTTTATACCCATCCCTGTCTTCATCACAGGGACACAGACACAGACACTCGTGTACACACACACACACACACACACACACACACATCTACCTTTCCCTGGATCCCCTCTGTTCAGGGTCTCTCTCACCCCCACACGACAACTCTGCTCATCCCAGCTCTACCCATCTCAGTCTCGGCTGAATTCTTGATACCTGGTTTTGGACCTGGAAACCCCAATTGGGGTTCATTCTTTGTTTCTGCGCTGGAAAGTCTTGTTTCTGCTGAGAGGACAGGACTTGAACTCCACCAGGCTGAGCGGCTAGCTGGTGGGCAGACTCTTCAGTCCCATAACCTTCTTATATGAAGGTACTGAAAAAATGCTGCTTGCCATCCTCACAGCCCATTGGACAGCAGCTCCCGAGGTGGTTGGGACCAGACTGCTTAGATTTATCTCCCAGCTTGTGGATTCCCAAGTTACCTTTTTACTTAGTGTACCATGTCCGTGGAGGAGCAGGGATGCTGGAAATACGTAACGCAGCATCAACCTCACCCTGCAATGGTCGTTGGATTCAGGTGTCTGCGTTTTCCCAGCCTATGATGATTCCTGTCTGCATCAGGCTGATTCTACCCCCATCTTGGCCACTTTCCCGGGCAAGGAGGAGACCGCAGGCTTGGCAGGGATTGGCTGCTTTAGAACGGCCAAGCCTCCCAGCATCCAGAAGTCAGGGACAAGAGTCCCAGAAGAGGAGAGGGAAGGTATGCTAGATTGTTGTTCCTGAGAACAGGTGCCAGGCTGGGGGTGTTGATATTGTAGAGACCTAGTCTGGGACAGGGAGGGTACAACCCAAGGCCAGAGCAGGGCAGAAAGCCAGCTGGCCTTGGGGATGGTAGTTTCTGAATAACTAAACCCACGGTTACTTTTGCATAATTTAGGGAGGTCTTAATGTAGATCAATCTCTCTCCTCCTGTACATTTTGCTTACCCTGATCCTCCCCCTCGTCACCATCTCCTCCTCCCCTTCCTCATTTCCTTCTCCACTCTTCTAGCCTCTTCCCCTGCGTTTCCCTGGATCTCACTCCTCCTTCCTGCTCTGTCCTCTATCCAGTGTCTCTGGAGATTCCTGTCTTTTTCCTGCACCTCAATTATCCACTGTGTGTTTACCTACCCGGCAGGATGTCACAGCTGAGCCTGGCCTGGCTGGGACTGGCACCTGAAGTGGCCTCCCCATGGCAGCTCATGCTGCTAGTTGGGGCGCTCTGGCTCCTGGCCCGAGTTCTGACCCAGATCTATGCTGCCCGTGGGAATTATCGTCGCCTCCGTGGTTTCCCTCAGCCCCCCAAACAGAACTGGCTTATGGGTCATGTGGGCATGGTAAGTGTAGCGTCATGATGGGTGGGGTGATGGAGTGGATGAGCCCCAAGAATGGGGCTCAGACTGATGGGGTGGGTTAGCTGATGATGGTGGGTATGCCTTGCCTTCTCGTTTCCCTGTGCTCCCACGCCAGTCTGCCCTGGCATTTCAACTATCCTCTTCACACTGGAGATGCTAAGAAGGTCTCACGATGAGATGTACAGAGTGAAGACCCTGATGTTTCCTCAGTGTCATCTTGTTGGACTCTAGGCCTCCTCGGGGACTGGGACAGTGTCTTATGTGAGCCTATCTCTGTCTTACTGTTCTCTAGTATTGATCTTTGATCTCTCTCCCTAACCACACACAGGCAGAGAACAGCTGGGCAGAGCTCCCTCCCCAGCTCCCTCCCTGGGCCACTTCCTCCTTATCATGCTCTTCCCTAAGATAGACCTAGATAAAAGCTGTCTGTCAGCTCACCCTGCCATGGACTTCTTTGACCCTGCCCTTTACCCACTCCCCCTCCCATGGACCTTCCTTGACCCCACCCTTGACCCCACCCTTTGGACTTTTGGCTCCCGTCTGATCTCCCATTTAGGTGGCTTCACCAGTAAATAGCTCAGTGTGGGCTGTGCACAGAGGTTGGGGATGCTCTGAGGTTGGTGGGCAGCTGATGTTGATGAGTGGGGGCTGTTATCATAATGGTGCTGCTCCCCTGCCAAGGCTGGAGGTGCCTGGTGTGTGGCCCTTTGTCCAGAGGAAGAACTAGAGACCACGTAAGGTCATGGGAACATAACCTAACTTTTCCACTAGGCCTGGAATGGACACTTGGGCCTTGGACATGTTTCTGGGAGCAACAAAACAGAAAGAGGCAAGGGTTCCCTTCATCCCTGTAAAATCTAGACATAGGTTCACTTATGACAGAAGCTGTGTCACTTCCAGCTGCAGAAGGGACCTGCTGATGCTCCTGGGAAAGTGGCTTAGTTATGGTTTTCTGGAGATGTGGAACAAAGGGTACACACACACACACACACACACACACACACACACACAGAGAGAGAGAGAGAGAGAGAGAGAGAGAGAGAGAGATCAAGGAGTAATGAGGACATTCTGAGAAGTTTGTCCAAAAGTGGTATTGTCATTGTGCTGACATCAGAGTCTACTGACACAAACCTACTAAGTGTAGTTTACTGTACACCTAGTCTCTATGGTACCGATTGTTGTTCAGATATACAAATCTGTACATTGTGGTGCTATCCTGAACGTTGTGTATAATTTGTTATGCCATAGTATTTATGCATTTGAATGTTTCTAAACATAGAAATGGATAGGAAAAATAAAAGGCTACAGAGATATTTTACTTTCATTGAAGTCATGAGAAATAAGTTCATCTGTGCAGTCTGTCTTTGCCAAAACATCATTATGCAGCATATGACCATGTTTCTACAGTCATGTATACACACATACGAAACTATACACATATGTAAAGTAGAAGAGAGAGGGGGTACACTGCATTATGTGAATTGACTTATGTATTTATGGAGATGGAGGAGTACCTCAGCATGCCATCTGCAAACAGAAATCTGGGCTGTGACCAACTCAGTCTTGGAACAACAGTGTGAGAACCCAAGGGTGTATAGGGGCTCAGGTGTAAATACTGGAGAGTTGTGCAATAATCCTTGTACACTGTGAAGATGTGTCACTCAGATTGGCTTAATAAAAAGCTGAATGACCACTGGATAGCTCACACCTTTATTCTCAGCACTTGGGAGGCAAAGGCAGGCAGATCTCTTCAAGTTTGAAGCCAGCCTGGCCTACAAAGCAAGTTCCGGGACATTCAGAGCTCCAACACAGAGGACACCCTGTCTCAAAAAACAAACAAAGCTGAATGGCCAATAGTCAGGCAGGATTTGGGGGACAGAGAGGATGCTGGGAAGAAGAAGGTAGTGACAGGGAACACAGAGCAAGTAGAATGGGCACAACAGATATGAGGCAATAAAACCATGAGGCAGAAAGTAAATGAATAGAAATAGGTTAATTTAAGTTATAGGAGCTCATTAGAAACAAGCCTAAGCTATTGACTGAGCTTTCATAATTAATAGTACGTTTCTATGTCGTGATTTGGGAGCTGGCAGGTGGGACAGAGAAAGACTCACAACACTGGAGCTCAACATCTCAAGGACCTGAAGTTGACATCTGATGGCAGAAGAAGAAAGGTGTCCCAGCTCTGGAAAAGGGACTAAATATTCTCCTTCTCTGCCTAGTGTATCTGGATCTTCAGTGGGTTTGATGGTGTTGTCCACACTGTCCGTTGATGCAGACAATAATTCCTCTTGAAATACCAACACAAACACACCCAGAGGTCACGAGCATCCCTAGCTGGGCATCCCTTAACCCAGACAACTCAATCCCTGCTATAAACCTCCTCAGGAGGTGACTGTTCCTTTATTGCTTGCAGGTATCTCCTACCGAGCAGGGCATGAAGAGACTGACTCAGTTGGTGGTCACCTACCCTCAGGGCTTTATGATGTGGATGGGCCCAATGTTCCCCATCATCACCCTGTGCCACTCTGACATCGTCAGATCTGTCCTCAATGCCTCAGGTACCCGTGGGAGCCGGTGGTGGGAACCCGAGGGTTTCCCCAGTCCCTAGCTACGTACTTCTGTGTGGCTCCTGCGGTGGTCCAGCTCCCCCTGTCTTCTCCGACAGCCTCTCTCTTCTCTTCATGGTTTCACCAGCTCCCAAATGCTCTACTTTCTGCACCCACCTGGATCTTGGTGTCCTGGGCTTTTCTGGGTCCCCAGTTGTCTTCAACCCAAGGTCCTATGGGAAGTCCATTCTTGAGACAGAGCTTGACAGGGACATCCTTAAGCATGTGTTGTCAGCAGGACAGGGGTCCTGACAGCCATGTGGAGAGGTGTGGACTCTGCTAGAATATGTGCAAAGGCTCCCTGGAGGAGGAGTTGTTCAAGCCGTGTCTATGGGCATGAGCAGGAATGTTGAAGGCATGGCCAGGTGGCTCAGTGGGCATCAGAAACATCTGAGGTCAAGGCCTCCAACCAGAAAAAGCTTCCCTAGCTTCAGAGCAATGAGAAGACTGTGGCCACTAGAGAATCTGCTCTGTGCTTTCCCTACCACTGAACCCTGCTGAGTTGATCTTTCCACCCCGCCCCATTGGTTGATCACCTTATGTGGATTGGTGTCTTGTCAGGGCCCAGAAATCTCCTCCAGGACACCCATCACAGCCTAGCCCCCTTCTCCTGCGTTTTCATCTTCCATCTTGGGACAGGCCAGGCTAAGAAGGGAAAGAGAAGTATCACCACAGCTCTGTCCCTTGCCAGGCCGTGGGCCTGATGCTCTCTGGCTGCCAAACTATGACAATTAAGCCCTGGGACTTGAGCATCTTACCCCACTTTACTTTTTAAAATATTTGTGAGAGAGCATGTGTGTGTGTGTGTGTGTGTGTGTGTGTGTGTGTGTGTGTGTGTAGCGCAGGCAAGCATATGCTGGGGCACACGTGTGGGGGTTAGAGGGCGGGCACCTTGACTTTCCACCTTGTTTGAGACAGGATTCCTAATAGTCCGCTCCCATATATGCATGCTAGTTGGATAGTCCTCAAGCTTCAGGGGCAGGTGGAGAACCCTCCTGATTCTGGCTCTATCTTGCCGTATGAACACTGTGATTGTAGAGATGTGCTGCAAACATCTGGTTTGGGGGATCCAGGCTCTGGTCTTCAGGCTTACAGCAAGTGCTTTTATCGACTGAGGCATCTCCCCAATCTAGATCACCCCACTTCCATGAAGCCCACGCTCTTTACCCCAGGTGGACACTGCACTGGCTCCAGCTTACCCGTAACACGGTGATGCCTCTGGCTGGTAATGTGTATCAGGCAGACAGGCTGGGTAATGGCAATGATGCTCCTGTATCTTTCTGACCTGCACATGCCCTGTGTCAAGTCTGATCATGCTGTTTATGTTATGAGCATAACCATGTGATGTCATCTGTGTGGCCACAGCTGTTGCTACTTTACATTTACATATCCATCTCTTTTTGCATTTGTATTTGCTCCAACGGGGATGCATAATAATGGTCATGTCTGGTTTTAACTTCAGATCTGAATATTTGAGGCATGGCAGGTTCTAGAAGCTGTTGGAGGTGGCCTTCTTATCTTGTTTTTCCTCTCTGGGCCCTCTTTGGGGCTATCTGAGGTCTGGGACCCATGGTTCTTCTGAGAAATGATGGATGCCTTATCCATGTTGTATCCAAGGCAAGACTGTAAGAACCTCCAGGTGAGATCAATGGGTCACAATCTGGGCCAAATCTGGTAGATTAATGGAGCTTTTGTTTTTTGGAGATACTGTTTGGCTGCTCAGTCCAGGTCAGCCTCAAACTCTGGTTCTTCTTGCTTTAACCCCTTGAGTGTTGGAAATTACAAGACCCACAATGCCTTTATTAATTTTCTGAACCCACAATGCCTTCATTACTTTTCTGTTGTTGTAATGAAACGCCGTGCCCAAGAGAACTCATAGAGGGAAGAGTTTATTTTAGATTGTTTTCAGAGGAATCCATAATCCTGATGGAGGAATGGTGACAGGAGTAGGAAACTGAGAGATCGCATACTCAACCATAAACACAGAGAAGAAAGAGCAATCTAGAGGTAGCTAGAGCCCGAACCCCCAAAGACCCAGTGCAAGCGAGGTACTTCATCCAACAAAGCAGCACCTGCTCACCCTCCTTAAACAGTGCCACCAGCTGGGGACAGGTACTCTGTACGTTAGCCTCTGGGAGACATTCTTATTCAAATCACCATGCACAGCCATTCTCAGATCTTGTCAGTGGCTTGCCTGAGGTATACACAGAGGTCTGCCAGATAATTTCTGGTCCATGTTACAGCATGAGGGGTCATGATGTCAGGGTAGTTAAGTGTGCTAAGGCCATGCCATGTCATACTAGCCCTTATGTGTCCATGTGTGTCCTGTATCTGTTCAGGAAACATCAGATACCTAGGGTGCCTAGATGACAGGAACCGAGGTTCCAGTAAATGCCAGAGTGTTGTGATGGACACAGGCATGGCAGACATGTTAGACTATGTAGAAGCCATGTGAAGCAGTGCTACAGCACAATGTAACGTGTCAAGCCATGCCTTTGCCTTACCTGCTGACACTGATGTTGTCTGGTCTAGTCCTCAATTTCCTCACTTTCAACTTCATTTCCCTTCCTCTGTCCTTGCTTCTTTTCACGGCATGTGGACTTTGGAGGGAAGTGCAGACTCCCAGAAGGGAATCCCCCCCACCTCCCATGGTCTGTCCTCACCCACTCCATGACCCGTGACTGTCCTTGTTCATGTCAGCTGCAGTTGCACTCAAGGATGTGATATTCTACAGCTTCCTGAAACCTTGGCTGGGTGAGTATCTGGAGGTGAGGGGCAAAGGACACCCTTGGGGACCTGGGAAAGGTGCTACTCTTGCCTAATGCTGTGGCTGCTCCATCAGGGGACGGGCTCTTGCTGAGTGCTGGTGACAAGTGGAGCCGCCACCGTCGCATGCTGACACCCGCCTTCCATTTCAACATCCTGAAGCCCTATGTGAAGGTTTTCAACGACAGCACCAACATCATGCACGTGAGTGCCTGGTACCCTGAGTCACAACCTCCCCTCTTTCCCAAACGCTGGTTATTCCGGGGGTTTGTGTGGCTGGGGCATAAGATGAGGAGACTGGTCCTGGGTTGGGGGTTGAGATCAGGCAGGGTCTCAAGGAGCCAAGGTCCAATCCCTATCCTCTCTCCTTCTGTCAGGCCAAGTGGCAGCACTTGATCTCTGAAGGTAACACCCGTCTGGACATGTTTGAGCATGTCAGCCTTATGACTCTGGACAGTCTGCAGAAATGTGTCTTCAGCGTTAACAGCAACTGTCAGGAGTGAGTCCTTGTTCTGGGTCTCAGAACCTGGGTCATGAACCAAAAGGAGGGAGGACTAACCAGGGGAATCAGAGTGGCCTCCCTGGAGGAGATGGTTCAGAGCCAACCCCGAAAGACCTGAGAAAGAAGAAAGTGCATCTTCCTTCCAGGAGGTGGGATTATTTCAGTAAAGCCACAAAGGTGATGACAAGCATACCTTATAGGATATAAGTGGGGAGGCACCTTGGAAATTAAATTCAAGGGATCAGCAGTGGCTAGATCTTAAAGCCAGGGTAAGGCCTGTGGTTCCAGGGAAACTATGAAGGTGTTTGTATTAATAGTATTTCCAACCATGTGACCAAGTGCTTGAGAGACCCTGAAATGAAGGACGACTTGTTCTGGCTTGTGGTTTCAGAAGCCTTAGGCAGTGGTCAGTTCATGCACCCCATTGGTTCTGAGTCTGTACAACACACAGCCAGGAGCACCTGTTAAAAGAGTCTGATGCCTCATGCCACCCAGAAACAGACAGACAGACAAAGAGGCAGACAGAGAGGCTATCCCCATGAAGAGCATACCTAATGTCCTAAATTCCTCCCTAGACCCTACATCTTGAAGTTCTATGGTCTCAAATATTCTATAGGGGGGGCTAGAGAGATGGCTCTTGCAGACTACCTGGGTTTGATTCTTAGCACCCACATGGAAGTTTACAACTATCTGTAATTGCAGGTCAGGTGACCCCACACACTCTTCTGCCCTTCAAGGACACCAGGAAAAACTCATAAAATAAAATAAATAAATAAAATTTTGAGACAAGGTCTTTCTATGTAGCCTTAGCAGGTCTGAATCTCAGGGCTCATTCCACTCTGTCTCTGTGGCAAACTGTTCCTGGCTACTGGTAAGAGGCCCAAGATTCACATATTTTAAATTGCTGTGTGTGTGCAAATCCTGCAGGAAGTCCAGTGAATATATTGCTGCCATCTTGGAGCTCAGTGCTCTAGTGGCCAAAAGGCAACAGCAGCCTCTGCTGTACATGGACCTGCTGTATCATCTCACCCCTGATGGGATGCGCTTCCGTAAGGCCTGCAGCTTGGTGCATAAATTCACCGATGCCGTCATCCAGGAGCGGCGTCACACCCTCCCAGATCAAGGTTTGGATGACTTCCTTAAGACCAAGGCTGAGTCCAAGACTTTGGATTTCATTGATGTGTTGCTGCTGATCAAGGTGGGCTTCTCAAGCAGCAGGATGGGTATCGATGGCCAATGTCAGGTGAAATAAAGTGAGCTTGATACAGGGGGCACTGTGGAGCCAGGCAGGGGTGTGGGGTTGATTGAGACGTGGCATGTACTGGCAGATTTTAGACGTGATCCTGGAATGCAGACTTCAGGAGACTGCCAAGCCTCTAACTTTGAAGAGCCTGGGCATTTTACAGGTTAATACATCGTTGTATGGCATTTATACCTGTACGCGCACACACACGTTGGCAACTACCTCAAATCAATGATCCCAGCAGCCCTTAGTCAGTCATGGCAACAGGCCAGAATAGGATGCAGCACTGGCTTTTCCATGCTCCCCCTGTCCAGGAGAGGGAGCATTTACCTGCATGTGCAGGAGGGCTTCCTCCACAGAGAAGGGGCATTGCCACTGGTGGTTCCTGTAGAATATTGTATAAGTGAGTCTAGTTCCTCTCCAGGTGGTAAATACTGAATGAAGAAAGAGGGAAGGAGGAAGGAGAGACAGAAAACTTTGTTCTGGAGTTGAACAGGTTCTCTCCGGGGCAAAGTCTATAGATTTGCAAACCAAATGTTTCAACAGGTAAGATAAGATTCCCTGGAACGAGTGCTTTTGAATCTGGGTAAAAGTCTTTAGAGTAAAGCCTTACTTCTGATTTCCATGGAAAGTCGCCACACACTCACCCTCCACATCAAGTCACTGTTGTTTTTTCAGAAATTCCTCGTCAAGCAGAAACATGGTGACATTTATGTGTGGGTTGCTGACTCCAGCTGTGGACCACATGAGACAGGATAACCAGAAAAAATAAAGCCTGGGAATTTCAGATTGGACTAATAGCCAGGAGACATACAGTGATGGGTGGCCTTTGGCTGAACAATGGATCTTTTGATAATGTCATAGTTTAAACACAAATTTGCAGAACTGCTGTCTTGCTTTGTTTTCAGGATGAAGACGGAAAGGAGTTGTCAGATGAGGACATCAGAGCAGAGGCTGACACCTTCATGTTTGAGGGTGAGGGTCGCACTGTGGGACTAGGGACGAGGCAGAAGCTTCTCCATCTTGAGGCTTGTTGGGAGGACATGGAATCCTTCCCTCTCCCATCCTTTCCTGGACAGCAATACTTGGGTGCTGTCCATTCAGTAGTGCTGAAGCAGAGCACAGACCCATGCCTGTCTGTCTGCCCCTCAGGCCATGACACCACAGCCAGTGGGCTCTCCTGGATCCTGTACAACCTGGCGAGGCACCCGGAATACCAGGAGCGCTGCCGGCAGGAGGTGCGGGAGCTGCTGAGGGACCGAGAGCCTCAGGAGATTGAGTGGTGAGCCTAGGTCTTCCTGGCACATTTCTCTCTCATTGGCTCTCCTCAAACCTGGGAGAGTCACTCTTTTTGCTGATTCTCCTATATTTGCTCATGTGAGCCCAGAGGAGAGACCTGGTACTAAGTCTGGCTAGCAAGGACAGGGTTGTTGGCTTTGGAACAGAAGCATCTGTGTTGCTGAAAGAACAGAGATAATCATAAGGAAAAGATGGTGACATTTGCACATGTACAGGGAAAGCTCTTCCCCTAGTCTCTTTCCTCCAACAGATGTTTTCTTCCATGAATGTTCATTCTTCTCCCCTACCCTAGATTTCCCCTACCTAGAGTTCAGGGACTCATAGGTGAAACTTGGATACTAAAGTGTGCTGGGTCTAGAGAGATGGCTCAGCTGTTAAGAGCACTTCCTGCTCTTGTACAGTTTGGTTCCCAGCATCCACATCTAGTAGCTCACAACCACCAGGAACTCAGTTCCAGTAGATCTGAAGCCCTGACCTGCATGCGCATGTGCGTGCACGCACACATACAACAAATAAAATAGCCAGATGCAGTGGCACACACCTTTAACCCCAACACTTGGGAGGTAGAGGCAGGAGGCCCTCTGAGCTGCTGGTCAGCTTGGTCTACATATCAAGTTCCAAGACAGCCAAGGCTATGCGAAGAGTCTCTCTCTCAGTAAAATAAAATAGTCTACGTGCTACCCGGAGCCCCTGGGTCATTGATCCATCCAGTCTTCCCTAAGAAAACCCTCCTACAATGACTTCCCCACCCCAGTTTTGTATTCAGCTCCCCTTTGGTTCCAGAGACCCAGAAGGGAGCAGGCCAAGGACTGGTCAGACAGTTCCAACTTGGCAGGAGAGCTGTCCTAATTTAGAACACTTCCTAATGCTCTACTGTTCCACTTACCACATATTTGGTCCCCCTTGGGCTCATTTCTTCATTGTGGGAAAACACTGCACTGATACACATGGGCTTCCAGCCTCTCTTTTGCTCCTTGTGTAATAGTTCAAAGGGTTTCCTTAGGGACGACCTCAACCAGCTGCCCTTCCTGACCATGTGCATCAAGGAGAGTCTGCGGCTGCATCCCCCGGTCCCTGTCATCTCCCGCTGCTGCACCCAGGACACTGGGCTCCCAGATGGCCGGGTCATCCCTAAAGGTGCCCATAAGACAGGGGAAGAGGGTCATGGGTAGGCAGCACAGTCTCGTCTTTACAACCCCCTCTTCTCCCTTAGGTGTCATCTGCCTCATCAGCATCTTTGGGATCCATCACAACCCATCTGTGTGGCCGGACCCTGAGGTGCTTGCCTGTCTTAGCCCCTATTTCCCTACATCGTGTGGTAGGGATCCTAGGGGAGGAGGCTTGGCTTTGACCTAGGAAACCAGACCTCACCTTCCCCCAGAACGCTTAGGACTCTGTCCCTGGTTGTCCTGGGAGGTCACCCGTCCACCTTGGCTCAATGTCTTCTGCAGGTCTATGATCCCTTCCGCTTTGACCCCGAAAAAGTCAAAGATAGGTCACCTCTGGCATTTATTCCTTTCTCAGCAGGACCCAGGTGAGGCTGGGTTAATGGTGTGGGGTCTGGGGCTGACAGTGGGAATAGCGGGGAGTTGGGATGGTCTGGTTCTGGGTCTCCTTCCTGCCCTGTACTCAAGGGATTTGCAAAGGTCTAGAGCATAGGGCTTGGGAGGTGAAGGGCTGCCGCTGTGCTCAGAGTCCCGCCCTGGTCTGAATTGGGCGCTGAGGCTGCAAGTTTCCAGATGCAGACCAAGCACCATAGGGAACCTGTCAGATTGGGTCCTACGGTGCCTGGTTGGGTCCTGTCGCAGTCAGAGTCCCCACCCTCCCGCAGGAACTGCATAGGACAGACTTTCTCCATGAACGAGATGAAGGTGGTCCTGGCACTGACACTGCTGCGTTTCCGGGTCCTGCCCGATGACAAGGAGCCCCACCGGAAGCCAGAGCTGATCCTGCGTGCTGAGGGCGGGCTGTGGCTGCGGGTGGAACCGCTGAGCACGGGCACGAAGTGACTCCACACCTGGCCTGGGACCATCCTACTCACCCAGCTACCTCTTTGGATCCCAGGATAAACAGAGCTCTCACCCATACCTGAGCCTTACAGAATGCCATCAGGGGACATTGCATGGGCAAAGGAGACCGGCTGGTGTTTGAGCCAAAGACTCTTGACTTCCTCTAATTGACCAAAGGTCTTTCCAGTGAAGGTGCAGTCTCCAGCCAAGCTGGACTATTCTCTGGACGCAGGAAGCCAAGGGGAGGTGTCTGTGCAAGAGGAAGGGTCCAGGAAGAAGGACAAGTTTGAGCTCTGATTCTCGCAGCGAATCCTTTATTTCGGCTTCATTGCCACTACTTTGGCCTCTGTTCTAACCATTTGTAGACCTGTCTTCTCTCACCTCGCAATTATTTTTTTGGGGAGGGACACTAAATTACTGTGCTTATTAAACCTAAACCTAAAGCCTGGCATTTATTGCCTTTTTTTTAAAGTTAGGGTCTCATTATGTCACCATGAGCAGTCTCAAACTCCTGGTTTTAAGCTCTGCCTTGATTTTGCAAGCTGGCACTGCAAATCTGTCGGTCATCGTGTTAGGCTCTTCCTGGGTTTATGTCTTCAGGCTTTTCCCTAGTAAGACAGAAAGCAAAGGGTTGAGGGTGATGGGTACTGGGGGCATTGGAGACCACTCCTTTAGCACTATGGACAAGGGCTGTATCTGGGAGATGCCCCTCACAGTGAGGGGAGTTTAGCGATAAAACCCTTGCTGAGAGTGTGGGAAGCCCTGTGTTTAAAACCAACACAAGGAAACAAATAAAAGGTGAGATGCAGGCCAAGCGGTGGTGGCACACACCTTTAATCCCAGCACTTGGGAGGCTGTGAGTTCGAGCCAGACTGGTCTACAGGACAGCCAGGACTGTTATACAGACAAACCCTGATTTGGAAAAAAAACTAAAATAAAAATAAATGAATAAAGAGTGAGATGTGAGGGCTAGGAATATGGCTCAGTGGTCAGAGCACTACCTGCCCTTTCAGAGGATCTGGGCTCGATTCTGAGCACCCATGTCAGCTTTGCCTCCAGCTCCAGGGGATCTGATGCCCTTCTCTGGCTTCAGTGAGCAACTGTGCTCACATGTGCACACATACACACACCCAAGACTCCTAAAACCTCCCCACAGATACACATGCACCCACAAAACTCCCAACACCCCCCAACAGACACACATGCACCCACAAAACTCCCAACAACCCCCACAGATACACATGCACCCACAAAACTCCCAACACCCCCCAACAGATACACATGTACCCACAAAACTCCCAACACCCCCACAGATACACATGTACCCACAAAACTCCCAACACCCCCCACAGATACACATGTACCCACAAAACTCCCAACACCCCCAACAGATACACATGTACCCACAAAACTCCCAACACCCCCCACAGATACACATGTACCCACAAAACTCCCAACACCCCCAACAGATACACGTGTACCCACAAAACTCCCAACACCCCCCACAGATACACATGTACCTACAAAACTCCCAACAACCCCCACAGATACACATGTACCCACAAAACTCCCAACACCCCCCAACAGATACACATGTACCCACAAAACTCCCAACACCCCCCAACAGATACACGTGTACCCACAAAACTCCCAACACCCCCAACAGATACACGTGTACCCACAAAACTCCCAACACCCCCCACAGATACACATGTACCTACAAAACTCCCAACAACCCCCACAGATACACATGTACCCACAAAACTCCCAACACCCCCCAACAGATACACGTGTACCTACAAAACTCCCAACACCCCCCAACAGATACACATGTACCCACAAAACTCCCAACACCCCCAACAGATACACATGTACCCACAAAACTCCCAACACCCCCAACAGATACACGTGTACCCACAAAACTCCCAACACCCCCCACAGATGCACATGTACCTACAAAACTCCCAACAACCCCCACAGATACACATGTACCCACAAAACTCCCAACACCCCCCAACAGATACACATGTACCCACAAAACTCCCAACACCCCCCAACAGATACACGTGTACCTACAAAACTCCCAACACCCCCCAACAGATACACATGTACCCACAAAACTCCCAACACCCCCCAACAGATACACATGTACCCACAAAACTCCTAACAACCCCCCCCACAGAGACACACATGTACCCACAAAATTCCTAACAAACCCTCACACACACAGACACATGAGTACACACAAAACTCCCAACACCCTCCCCCCCCACAGATACACATAATTTAAATAACAATGTAAATACAACTTTAAAATGAGTTGCAGATGGTCTCCTTTGGTGCAAAGGAGTCTGTCGAAGAGATTCAAATGGGTTTGGGATCCATGCAAAGGCAGTGAACAATCAATAGTGACCAGAGGTCAAGGCTAAGCTCGCTTATCTTTTTCTAAAAAAAGATTTATTTATATTTATTATATATACAGTGTTCTGCCTGCATGTGTCCCTGCAGGCCAGAAGAGGGACTAGATCTTATTACAGATGGTTGTGAGCCACCATGTGGTGGCTGGGAATTGAACTCAGGACCTCTGGAAAAACAGCCAGTGCTCTTAACCTCTGAGCCATCTCTCCAGTCCCAAACTCACTTATCTTGAGTCCCATGAATAAAATCTGCAAGGCAGGTGCAGCTGTCTGGATCCTGCTTGGGGTTCTAAAAGGAACATTGTAAACTGAGAGTGACTAACGGGGTGTAGCCATCAGCTGTCAATTAGCATTGTCCGCTTAGCAAAGGGTAGTAGGGGACCCTAGGGGAAACAGACATGAAGTTCCAAGAGCAACTGGTTACCCTGTTTTTTCTTTTTCTTTGTTGGTTGGTTGGTTTTTGATTTTTGAGGCAGGGTTTCTCTGTATAGTAGCCCTCGCTCTGTAGACCAGGCTGGCCTTGCACTTGGAGATCTGCCTTCCTCCTGAGAGCTGAAATTAAAGTGTGTCACCACTCCTGGCATCTCTGTGGGTTTTCCAAGAACCAACTCTAGTGGGCAAGGGGTTGTCATCGAAGGGAAGTCTCCAAGGTTAGGAGCCCCATCCTGACTGCCTGGTGAGGTCTAACTTCTGGCCTCAAAAAGAAATGAAGGAAAGTGTGCTTGCTTCTTGTGAAAGCCACATCTGGGGTTTTTGCCTCTAGGCTTCTCACGCCAAATACTTTCTTATCCAAATACACACCCATAAAAGAAAGACGATGCAAAACAGAAATGTATCTCCCATGAATCCAATATACTAGGTAATCATTGTCAATATTCTCTCAGACACGTCTTTTGTGTTTCTTCATAACAATATTTTAAACTATTTTATTATTATTGTATTGTATTGTATGGGTGTTTTGCCTGCATGTCTGTCTGTCTGTCTGTACACCATCTGTCCAGAAGAGAGTGTCAAGTGTACTAGAATTGGGTGTGGGTGCTGGGAATTGACTCTGGTAGAGCAGCTAGTGTTCATAACTGCTGAGCCATCTCTCCAGCCCCTATAACTGTATTTTTTAATTTATTTTAAATTTAAATTTAAATTAGACACAAGGTTGCTTCACAAGTCAGTTCCAGGTCCCTCTCCGTTTCCCTCCCCTCCTCCCGTGGCCTCCCCCCAACCCCCCCAATATCCCCTCATTTCCCCAGGGAGGGTGAGGCCTTCCTTGGGGGTGTCCATAGTCTGTCATTTCATCCAGGGCAGGGCCTAGACCCTCCCCCAAGAGTTCAGGATGAGAGTGCATCTCACATTGTTGGATTCGAGTCCAAAGTTCATTTGTATACTCCGGATAAATACTGATCTACTGCCCAAGGCTCAATAGATTACCTAGGCCTCCTCACTGACACCCACATTCAGGAGGTCTTGATCAGTCCCATGCTTGATTCCCAGGCATCAGCCTGGGATTCAAGAGTTAACCCTTGTTAGGTCAGCTGTTTCTGGGGGTTAAACCAGCCCTTTGGTCCTCAGTCCTCCCTCTCTGTTACTGGCTTTCTTGGGTTCAGCTCAGTGCTTAGCCATAGGAGTCTCTGCCTCTTCTTCCATCAGCCACTGAATGAAGGTTCTGTTTCCCAGACTCTCTGGCCATGGGATTGTAAGATGGCACTCCCCAGATCTATGTCTAAAATCCATATATGAGAGAGTACATGCCATGTTTCTCTTTTTGTGACTGGGTTACCTCACTCAGGATGGTTTCTTCTAGTGTCATCCATTTGCCTGAAAATCTCAGGATTCCATTGTTTTTCTGCTGAATAGTACTCCATTGTGTAAATGTACCACATTTTCTCTATCCATTCTTCAGTTGAGGGACATCTAGGTTGCTTCCAAGTTCTGGCTATTACAAATAATGCTGCTGTGAACACAGTGGAACAGACATCCTTGTTGTATGAATGGGCATCTTTTGGATATATGCCTAAGAGTAGAGTTGCTGGGTCTTGTGGTAGGTTTATTCCCATTTTTCTGAGGAATCGCCATACTGATTTCCAAAGTGGCTGAACAAGTTGGCACTCCCACCAGCAATGGAGGAGTGTTCCCCTTTTACCACATCCTCTCCAGTATAAATTGTCATTGGTGTTTTTGATTTTAGCCATTCTGACAGGAGTGAGATGGTATCTCAGAGTTGTTTTGATTTGCATTTCCCGGATGGCTAAGGATGCTGAGCACTTTCTCAAGTGCCTCTCAGCCATTTTAGACTCCTCTATTGAAACTTCTCTGTTTAGTTCTGCATCCCACTTTTTAATTGGATCCTTTGGTGTTTTGGAGACTTGCTTCTTGAGTTCTTTGTAAATTTTGGAGATCAACTCTCTGTCAGATGTGGGGTTAGTGAATACTTTTTTCCATTCTGTGGGCTGTCTTTTTGTCTTGCTGACTATGTCCTTTGCCTTACAGAAGCTTCTTAGGTTCAGGAGGTCCCATTTATTAATTGTTGATCTCACTGTCTGTGCTACTGGTGTTATGTTCAGGAAGCGGTCTCCTGTACCAATTCGCTCAAGGGTACCACCCACTTTCTCTACTAAGAGGTTCAGTGTGGCTGGATTTATGTTGAGGTCTTTGATCCATTTGGACTTACATTTTGTGCATGGCGATAAACATGGATCGATCCACATTCTTCTACATGCCAGCCTCCAGTTATGCCAGCACCATTTGTTGAAGATGCTTTGTTTTTCATTGTATATTTTTAGCTTCTTTGTCAAAGATCAGATGTTCATATGTGTGTGTGTTAATATCAGGGTTTTCAATTCGATTCCATTGGTCTACCTGTCTATTTTTGTGCCAATACCAAGCTGTTTTCAGGACTATAGCTCTATAATAGAGCTTGAAGTCAGGGATGGTGATGCCTCTGGATGTTGCCTTGTTGAACAGAGTTGTTTTGGCTATCCTGGGTTTTTTTGTTTTTCCATACAAAATTGATTATTGTTCTTTCAAGGTCTGTGAAGAATTGTGCTGGGATTTTAATGGGGATTGCATTGATTCCGTAGATTACATTTTTACTATATACAGCAAACCAACAGCCAACATCAAACTAAATGGACAGAAACTCAACACAATTCCTCTAAAATCAGGAACAAGACAAGGCTGTCCACTCTCTCCATACCTTTTCAACACTGTACTTGAAGTTCTAGCCAGAGCCATACAACAACAAAAGGGGACCAAGGGGATACAAATTAGGAAGGAAGAGGTCAAACTGTCACTATTTGCAGATGATATGATAATTTACATAAATGACCCAAAGAACTCTACCAGGGAACTCTTACAGCTGATTAACACCTTCAGCAAAGTGGCAGGCTACAAGATCAACTCAAGAAAATCAGTAGCCCTACTATATACAGATGATCATAGGGCTGAGAAAGAAATCAGAGAAACATCACCCTTTACAATTGCCACAAACAACATAAAATACCTTGGAGTAATGCTAACCAAACAAGTGAAAGACCTGTATCGAAAGAACTTTGAATCTTTAAAGAAAGAAATTAAAGAAGCCCTCAGAAAATGGAAAGATCTCCCATGCTCTTGGATAGGTAGGATCAATGTAGTATAACCATATTTTTATGTTTATTTTTATTTTCCTCTAATAATATGACACAGTACGATTATAATACAACACAATGCAATCATACAATACAATGTCCTTTTTAAGATGTTAGTTCACGGGCTACAGAGTATCTGGAACAATGTTCAATATCATTAGTAATTGGGAAGATGTAGAGAAAACTATGACACAAGGCCAATTTCCACCCACCAGGAAGGTCAGCATCCAGAAAGGGGAAGCAACAAGCATTGATTGGGGTGGGTGCGGAGTAATTGGGACCCTTATACCTTTCTGGAGAGGATGTGGATTATTGCAGCTGCTATGGAAACAGCTTGTCAGTTCAAGGAGAGGGAAACAGAATTCCCATTTTATCCCGAAGCTCTAGTGAGTGTGTAGTCAACACAAAGAAAACAAGTGTGTGGACACAGATTCACATACGAATGTTCAAGGCAGCCCCTGACCAGACAGGTGACCGAAGCCATCTAAGGCGGAAGGCTTCATTTTAGTTTGTGGTCTCAGAGAGATTTGAGTCCATCCCTTAGAACTGGGCTCCTTTCTTGGGGTCTTAGTCTCATTAAGAAAAGAATATAAAGAATGCATGCGAATTGAAGTGAAGGACAATTTGAATAGAGTTTAGCACAAGAAACCGAGCAGGCAAGCTGTCAATCTCCGCAGATGCTGGGAGGATAATGGAGACAGGAAGCAGGGTGTGGTGGTTTGAGCAAGAATGGCTCTTGGACTGGGCAATGATGGCTTGTGCACTCACAGAAGCAGGTGGATCTCTATGAGTTCAAGACCGGCCTGATCTGCATAGCGAGTTCCTGGTCAGCCAGGACTGTGAAGAGAGACCATTTCAACCACCATCACACCCCACTCCCACCCTCTCAAAAAAAAAAAAAAAGACCTGAAAGCCTCAGGTGCGCTGAGTAACCCTAGACAGGAAAGCTGAATCAATGATAACACCTGTGGAAGCTTCTGCCGCCCATGCTGGTATCGGTCTCTTTGAGATGTGAGGGGAGCTGACCTGCAAATGTTATCTTCTATTCTAGCCCTTGCCACCCCATAAAACTCCAAGCCCCTATACCATGTGCACACAGTGTTCTTCACACCCGAGGACAGACTGTTGTCTTCCAGTATTCAAAACAAGGCCTTAGGAGTTAGGCACTAATTGTATAAGTTATGACAAACTGCTGATTCAGCCTCCAAACCCTTCCTTTGGGCCTGTCTGCTGTTAAGAGGGGAAACTTGCTTCTTGGTTTTGACCTCTTTTTTTTTTAACTTTTTGTCTCTATACAAGTGTCCATGTATAGAAGTGACAGAATAAAAGGAATGTCACATCTAACTGGTGCCTGGAATGACAATAGAGGATATAATGTCAGACAAAGCTATGTCTGTGGCCATGAAGCCTTTGGAGATGCTACAAACATTAAGCCTGCTGTGCAGGTGGGCCTCCACCAACCAGCTGAAGTCTTTAGGGGAAAGACAGATGAGTAGGAAGTACAGACACAAGAAACTGAGGTTCAGATGTGACTGAAGTGATAGCTGTTGGGATGGTGGCATTTTCTGGATAACTTTTTGATTTGAAATGCACAGTTTCTGAAGGCCAGGCTTAGGGGAAGCCTTCAGCAATGTGGGTCTTGTGGAGAAAGGGTTTCTGTATCTGAGCTTAGGTGAGAATGCTCAAAGGAAACCCCCACCCTAAACCAGGGCCATTTGACAGGCCCAAGGCTTCAAGAAATGTGCTGTCTATGAGTTCCTGGAAAACAGCCAGCCTGCAAGATGTGCCTGGAGCCTGGAGGTTCAAACGCCTCAAAATCTGCTTTAAAAAAATAAGCAGTTTGTGCATCTGGTGAATCCAGGCCTTCCCCCTCCCTACTCTCCACTCCAAACACTGATTCGCAGGTCCCCTAGGCTCACTCTCCTGTACCCTGGGATACTGAGTCCAGGGCTTGGGAGGTCATCCTCTCAGACTCATAAAAGCCTGCTCTCTTTGATTTGAGGTTGAGCTGGGTCTATTTGTTTTTTCTCTGCTGACTTCTTTCTTAGTCTGTTTACACTGGCCATTTAGGGTCAGGTGCCATGTGTCGTTCATTGGAAGGTCAGCTGTAACTGTTTGTAGGAGACACTGCTCTGGGTGTCCACAGAGCATCTTTATTAGCCAGCCAGTGGGCTTCTAGTGTACTCCCAAGCTTTTCTCAGGGTGAGCTTTCATGCACAAATCCCATGTCCTGTGTGGACATACTTCATTTAATAAGAACAGTTAGCCAAAAAGCAAGGACAGTATATTAACAGACTTTACCAGAACTATGGACTTTGGTGGTACTGTGTATATGCTGAGTTTTACAGCCTTAATGGTACTCCCATCATGGACTCAGTTGTGCAAAGTTCTGGGGACAAAGAAAAGTCTGGAACTCTGTTACAACATCATGAATCATGCTGTCAAACTGAGAATCAGGGTCTAACTTTTTTATTGTTGTATTTTTTGAGACAAGGTCTAGCTAGGTAGCTCTAGCTAGGTAGATCAGGTTGGCCTTGAACTCACAGAGCTCAGGACTATCCCAAGTCCTCACAAGTGCATTGGACAAAGGCCTGCACCACCACATCTAATTTTTAATGTGTGAGAAATTTTGATATTATTTTGAACCGGTTTTTCACTATAAAAGTTCCACTTTCTCCCTGACTGGAATAACTGTCATCACTGTTTGTGTGTTTTTATGTTATTGGCTGAATATGGCATTGAGAAAGCCTTGGGAACCACCCTCATTCCAAATTCCGAGGTGAGAAAATACCCTTGTGATAAGAAATAAGTCAGCAAAGGAAAAGGAAAAAACAGACTCAACTTGACTGTGAATCAATGTGTGCTGGTTACTCTTGGTTGCCAGCTTGACCGCATCCAATCCAGGTCTTTCGGGTAGGAAAGCACATCTATACTGTGGGTTTTGAGTTGTGTGTTTGCTTTTTGTTCATTTGCTTTGAGCTGAGAAAAGACAGGCCTTTAATCCAGATCTTGGGGCAGGAAGGCATACCTTCACCCCAGATCTGATCTGGGCTACCACTTCTGCCGGAAGTCTGTGTAAGGACACGGGACAAGGAAGTGCTTGCTCTCTGCCTGCTTGCTCTCTGCCGGTTTGCTGGCAAGTTCGTTCCTTCACTGGCATTAGAGTCTACTTCTTCAGGATTCCAGCATCTACTAGAGACCAACAGAGACGTTCAGCCTGTGTGCTGAGCAACTACTGGATTATTGGACTTTCTGTCATGGCCAGCCATTGTTGGGTTAGCTAGACTACAGCCTGTAAATCATTTAAATAAATCCCCTAAAAACATACATATGTATATACACACAAATGCGCACACACACATACATATACATGTGTGTGTGTGTGTGTGTGTGTGTTCTGTTACACTAAAGAATCCTGACTAACACAGACTGAGACCAGATATCTATTGGTCTGACAAACTGAGGCTTCCAAACCTGAACGCACCAAGCTAGGGCTGAGGATCAATTTTTGGACTGGAGAGTGGGGGTAGGGGTGTCCTGACTTCCACAGTCCCAGAAACTGGTTTTCTTTTTTCTTTTCTTGTCTTTTTCTCCCCCCCCCTTTTTTTTAACCCCTGTAAATTGCCAGGTGGAAGGCAATCTAGATTGCCTGTTTTTGTAAATTCCTTGGGTAGACGGTCTCCCAAAGTCTTGGGCAAGTTGGTCCAGGGTGTATGGGCTGTGGGGTGATGGGGGCAGGGAATTTCCTTCCCTGCTTATCCAATGGGACCAGTCTGTTGAAGGCAGCCTTTGAGTTGTTTCCATGGCTACCGAGTCTGGAATTCTCTAAACTCCTGCTGTCACCCCACTCTGAGGAGGAAGAAATAGGAATTGTTTGTTACGAGCAAGTGGAGGCCAGGACAAATTATGTTTAGAGCACTTTCCCCCAGACACGGATAGAAAGCTAGGGCCTAGAGTGTGTAATTTGCTCACTACTTGTCCTAGGAAAACTTATGTCCCCTGTCACTAGAGCTCCAGGACCTGAGCCAAGGGCTCGCTGGCCTATCGGGATAAAGGTTATTACTTCAGTGTCTGAGTCGTCCAATGAGGAGTACGCTTCTTAGGTGAGGGAATTTGCCTGACCTGGGTCTGTTTCCTTAACCCCCAACGTTAGCCATGTAGCGCTCCTAGGAAGTGCGTCCTAGATTCCAGTCCTAGGAATCAAAATCCCCTCCACTGACAGCAGGAGCGGCAGGAGGACACGAGGACACTCCGTGGCTGGAAATGGTACGTTCGGCCCGCATCCAGAATGTGGGGAGCAGGGATGCTGCACACGGAGGCTGCAGTGGGAACCGGCCTTCCCTGGCTCCGGGTCCGATGCGGGTGGTGCCGGTTCTGCAGGCAGAGCCGCGGCCCGAGCGCTCAGTGCTGCGGCGCGGGTCGGGTCAGTGGGGCGCCCGCAGCCCGCGTCTCTAGTCTGGGCTGTGTCGCCAGAAGGTCGCTAGGAACCAGAAGCCCTGGGCAGGTGCTCAGATGCGGGTGGATGGGGCTGGAGCAGCTTACATGGTGAAGGTTAGGACACTGGTTCTGTAACTGCCTCGTCCTAACCCCGAAAACCTCGTCACACCACATGCAGAGCCCCTGTGACTCTCAATGTAAATAAAGAAAAATAAAACGAGGCAAACTCTTATCACAATTGACCGAGACCGATTTATTGGAGCAGCGAGGGAGTGGCACCAACCTTTCCGGAACAAAGATTGAATGCCCTTACGGCACTGGTTCTGAACCCTTTAATGCTGTTCTTCATGTTGTCACCCCCTCCAACCATACAATTAGTTTCGTTGCTTCTTCATAACTGTAATTTTGCTACTGTTATGACTCTTAAGGTAAATATCTGATATCCAGGATATCTGATAGGGGACCCCTGTTCCCTTCCACCCCTAAGGGGTAGCGCGACTCGGGTTGAGAAACTGCGTGAGATGACCTGAGGGATTTGTACTTACAGAAAGGTAGCCACCAGGAAGTTACAGGTATTTTTTTTCTGGTTTGACTGGGAACACAGTGGGCTGTTTTCTACAAAGATATTGTATCTGCAGGAGAGGAATGGGCAGGCTCAGGTTGAGCAATTCTTTATGGCTAGGCTATTATCCATCCCAGCCTGACTCAATTAAACAACCCAAGCTGCACCTGCGTTTAAGGTGGGGGAAAAACCAAGCTTTTGTGGACACTTATTTTGCCTTCCTTTCCTGAGGGAATACCGGCTTTTGTCTACATACCAAGCTTTGGGGAAATGAATTTCTCCAGAGCAGTCAGTATGCACACTGGAGAACGGGACAGAGAGATCTATCTAGGGAGTCCCTGAGTCTGTCTTCAGGGCCCTGAAGTGAGGATTCTACAGAGGATCAAGGGCATGTCCATGCAAACAGCTCAGTCAAGGTGTGGTCCCAACCCACTGACCCATCATCACTGCTGGGCTTGAGTCTTCCCAGCAGTGGCCTGAAGAGGTGTTGAAAGGGTGTGAAATCCCTTTCTGAGAGGCAAGCTGCTCCCTCTGATGAGCACTTCTCCCTTTCAGCATGAGATTCCTGAGGAAATTTACGCAAGCGAGTGTGTGTGTGTGTGTGTGTGTGTGTGTGTGTGTGTGCACTCGATCGAGGGTTCGAACGCTGGGTGGGGTGGGGAGGGTTGCGGTGAGGGGGTCCATTGTTTCAGTGTCCTCAGTTCTGCCGGGTAGGTCACAGTGTCAGGATTTAGCACTGGTGCTGGTGGTAGTGATTTGCCAAATAAGCCTGACTTTGCCTTCTCTCTGGGCAGTGACAGTGCAGGTGCTTTGCTTCGGTCTTGTTTGTGTTGTGAGGCTGAGTCTCACAATGTAGTCTTGCCTGGTCTGGAACTCCCTATATAAACTAACTTGATAAAAGATCTGCCTGCCTGGCCTCCAGAGTACTGGGCCTAAAAGGTTATGTGCCACCAAACTTGGCCTTTTATCCCAAATTTGTTGTTGTTTGTTTGTTGTAAGACTGTATCTCACTATTTGGAACTGGCTGGTCGGCACCTATATAGGTAGAGGAGGCTGGCATTGAACTCACAGAGCTGACTTTCCTGGCCCTGCCTCCCAGGTACTGGGATGAAAGATGCACACGACCACACCCTTTGATCCCAGTTTGAATCGCCAGCATTAACCAGCAGAGCACACATTGACATGTCACACAGTGACAGACAGCTCAGGTCACAGGATGCCTAGGAGATGGTTAAAGAGGGAGGGCACAGAGACCAGGGTCTGCCCTGAAGTCACAGGCAGAGAGCTGGGGTGGGCCTAAGGGGAAGTCAGGAGGGACCAGATGAGAAGTCTCAGCAGGGCAGGTGTGGAGATGCCAAGTGCCTGTTGGGAGGTCTGGCTGTTGGATGGTGAATTTGAAGTGGGCTGAGCGTTTGGCCATGAAGAAACTTCTGGAGCAAGGTTGGGATGGACATGGTTAGCAAGGAGTTGAGAAGTTTCCTGGCTTTGACAGCTGACCCTGTCATGACTCATGCCTGCCACACTTTGGTTTTTTACAGTCTCAGGCAAGGGGGTCCCATCTGTTGTGGATCAAAAGCTCCATGTCTGGTGTGTCTGGTATGATCTGGTGTATTTTCAGTGTTGTTACTTACTGGTAGAGTTAATGGCTCTTGGTGTGCGGGCAGATGGTGGGTGTTTACTCAGGTAAACAAGCTGTTCTTCTGTAAACAGTCCCCTTTTCCTGGTCCTGATTTTCTGTGTGTACAAATCAGGGCAAGACTGTAGGCTAGGCTCTGCACGAAGGTGATATTTGGCACAAGAATAATCAAGGAGCTGTCACTGCCCACTTTCCCCTCATTGTCTCTAGGAGTGTCACAGAGTTCCCTCTGAATTCTGTCATCTGTGCCCTCGAGCCCAGAATTCTTAGGACTAGGAACAAATCTCTAACAAGTGTTTCTGATATTGTCAAACTCACTGAAAAGGGATGGATGGGTGGACTTGGCCTCTCCCATAACTGTCACTGTTCTTGGTTTTTGGTTTGTTTTTTTGTTTGGTTGGTTTGGGTTTTTTGTTTTGTTTTGTTTTTTGAAACAGGGTTTCTCTATGTAACAGCCCTGGCTTTCCTGTAACTCGATTTGTAGACCAGGCTGGCCTTGAACTCACAGAGATCACCTGCCTTTACTGGGCCTAAAGGTGTGCACCACTACACCTGCCTGTTTTTTTGTTTTTTTTTTTCTAAATGTTGTTTTAAAATGTAAATCTGTGCTAGAGCTAGGCCCGGGAGTGTTGCAATAAGCCCCTAGTGGTAGCTCTCAAGCTTCTCTAGAGTTTAGCTGAAGAGGATTGTCCTCTCTTAGGGAGGAGGAAAGAGATGGTGGTGATCTGGTGAGATGGACGGTGTCGTCCCCATAAGCTACTAGCTCAGAAGGCAGTCTTCTCTGAGGCCGTCCTGTCTTTGGGTTACGATAAGGAATGGGCAGCTTTAGGATCAGCCTGGGTGTCAGTCAGCGATCACTGGCCTATGACTCAAAGAGAACAAAAAGACACAATCTACTTAGTTACGTATTGTCTGTCATTCCATGAGCTTAGATGTTTATTGCTGAAGCTAAAAGGTTGGATTTGCAAAGCTCTGTTGTGAGTGAAAACAGTGTATTAGGAAGGATGTTTGCAGTACATGTTGTCCCACATTAGAAACACAATGAATCAGCAAATAATAATACATGGAGTTGCCACCTGTAGAAGGTACTGAGATGTTAACCTGGGTCAGAGAGTAGCAAGCCCTCTTAACCACTGAGCCATCTCTGCAGCCCAAAGCTCCATCTTTTAGAACAGTGATTTCAGATTTTGCATTTGTTAAACATGCAAAGCCCTTTGTCTTTCCCAACAACCTTGCAGGGAGAGTGAGCACACCCCCTGTTTCTCTTTCCCTGATGCTTTCTCTGAGTTAGCAGATACTTTCAGGGAGGCAACTTACTATCCAGCTTTGGAGATAGCTTTGTTCTTGTGTCTATATCACTTTCCCTGTACCTTTTGAAATATCCTTTTTTTCTTCTTTTCTTGTAACATTTTTTTTTAAGTTTAAGGCCGAATGAAAGGTTCAGGCATTACTCTGGCCTGCCGTGCTACCTGGCAGAATGCACTCAGGCAGTTCTCTGGCCAGCCCAGAGTTCCATGAGAACCACGCAGGTGCAAAGGACCCCTTTAAAGGACTGATCCCTGCCCACTTACGCTCTCTCATCTTTCTCTACTCTCTTACACATTCCACGTTCCTCTCTCTTACCCCCTCGTCTCTCTCATGTCTGTCTCCCCCCTTCACTCTCCCTCCGCTATAATAAACTATTGGCTTGTACACTCCATGGCTGTTGCCCCATCGAGCTGGTTCCCGGTCCCGGTTCCGTGCTCCTGCTCGTGTTTCACCTTTTCGCTCCTTCTAATTTCTAATCTTAAACAAAATAGCAACGCTGAATGCTCCAGAGTCTGTCACTCACTGTGCAATTGCCCAACTGTTCCTGAACATGCCCGACGCCCTGGAGTGTATTCTATCCAGAGTCACTCCATTGCAGAGAAGTGATTTTCCCTCTCCTCGGAGCTGTCACTTGCGAATAGCTGCTGGGTTGGAAGTGGGACATTGTGCATACTTCCCCCCGGTGCTGTAATCTTGCTGGCCTAGACCTGTGCAGATCTTGTGCATGCTGTCGCAGCCTCTCTGAGTTCACAGGTTCGTCAGTCCTGGTGTGTCTGGAAGACATCGGTTCCCTAACGTCCACTACCTTTGGCTGTTTAAAAAATAAGTTTTTCAGGCTGGAGAGATGGCTCAGCCGTTACAGGCTAGGCTCACAACCAAAAATATATATAAAAAAGTTTTTCACTTCCTCTTCGCATAGATCCCTGAGCCTTGAGAAGGAGGGAGTTTGAGTCCATGTTTTCTGTGAGGTTTTTTTTTTATTGTTTTGTTTTGATTTTATTCCATCCACCCCTCCCCACTTTTGTTAAAAAGAGAAAGAGAGAGACATACAGTTGGTTGGGTAGGAAGGTGGAAAGGATCTGAGAGGAGTGGTTGATGGGGGAAAAAGAATATGATCAGAATATATTGTATGAAAAATTAAAAGATTTATTTTTATTTATGTGTATGTTTGTGGTGTTTGTGTGTGTGCCTGCCTGCCTGCCTACATGTCTGCCTGCACATGTGTGGGTTCCCAAGGAGTCCAGAAGAGGGGTTGGATGGCTGTCATTACAGTTATGGGCAGTTAAGCCACTCTCTGTGGATACTGAGAAGCCAAGTCTGGTCAGTTAGAAGAGCAGCAAGTCTCTCCTGTCCCTGAAATGCCTTATTTTTCTTAAAGATGGATTTAGTTATTGTATGTGTGTGTGGGGGGCTCAAGATAAACTCACAGAGCTCCTTCTGCCTGCTGGCCTTAAAGGTGTGTGCCACCATGCCCAGGAATTAATTTTAATTTTTAATAATGTGTATGTTTGTGTCTTTGTGTAAGCATGTGCACATGAGTGTGGGTGCCCAGAGAGGTATGAGATATCTTATCCCTCTGGATCTGGGGTTACAGGCAGCTGTGAGCTGCCTGATATGGGTGCAGGAATTGATCTCAGGTCCTTTAGTAGAGAAACAAGGGTTCTTATCCACTGGGCTCTCTCCAGCTCCTATTTGTCTTTTATACCTAGAAAACAAAAATTGTAAAAGTTCTTTAAAATATTTTGTTTTGTTTATGGGTACTTTACCTGCACCATGTGTGTGTATTCCCCTTGGAACCAGAAGACAGCGTGGGAGCTGGAGTTAGGTGCCGGAAGTGTAGTTGCTTAGCAGCGGTGTCGATAAATGAATCTCACAGTACAACAGACCCAGGTGAGAGTTTATTAGGAAGCGTGTGTGTGTGTGTGTGTGTGTGTGTGTGTGTGTGTGTGTGTGTGTGTAAGAGGGAGCTATGGGGATCGACTGAGAAAGGAATTGAAGAGAGAGTGAGGGGCAGGAGGAGCTGGCTTAAAAGGGGACCTTTGCGCATGAGCACAGAGTCTTATGCAGCCCTACAACACACGATGTAGCCACAAAACATATGAGGTAGCCATGCAGCACATGACTTAAGCCTTGCTTAACTTAAATTATCTCATGTATCTTTTGCCTCTAGGCTTTTACCTTTCTCTATTTCTGTGTCTCTTTTCTTCTTACTCCATGTCTGGCTGTGTGGCTGCGTGCCTGCCTGGCCCCTGACATCCTCCTGCCCTTCTTCTATCTTGCTCCTTCTCCTTTTTCTATTTATTCTCTCTGCTTGCTAGCCCCACCTAGCCTTTCTCCTACCTCGATATTGTCTGTTCAGCTCTTTATTAGACCATCGGGTGTCTCAGACAGGCAAAGAATCACAGCTTCAGAGAGTTAAACAAATGCAACACAAAGGAATGCAACCCACCTTTACATCATTAAACAAATGTTCCACAGCATACACAAATATAACATACCTTAAGATAATATTCCACAACAAATATATGTGTGTGCTTTTAGGAGTCAGTGAGCTTTGAGGATGTGGCTGTGAAGTTCACCCAGGAGGAGTGGGCTTTGCTGGATCCACCCCAGAAGAAGCTGTACAAGGATGTGATGCAGGAAACCTTGAGGAACCTGGCTTCTATAGGTACACACGAGCATCGCCCTTTTAGTCCATCACAGGGCAAGTGTTTCTACCTTGTCCGTGGTGATGTATGAATTGGATTATGGGCAGGGGGATGGGGTGAATGTGTCAGATGGGATCACTTATCCCTTCAATTTGACTATATCTAATTTTTTTCTGTTATTAATATGTCTTAACTATTTTTATTGTTCTACATTTTAGGAAACAAGTTGGAAAACCAGAAGATTGTAAATGAGTATGAAAATCTCTGGAGAAAGCTAAGGTAATTTGATTCCCAAGAGATAGCCATAGTCCAGAGTGCCGGTGTAATAGAACATTTACAAAGTGGTAAAAGATGCATTTGAGACCCAGCTATCCTGAGCTCCCCATGTACCATAGCACACATGCACACCCACAAACATGGTAAATGAGCACCTTTTTCAAACTCAATGTTGTATTGATTTTTTCACAAGCCATGGGGACAAGTTGCAAGTTTTCAGTTTATTTCATGGATGTGCAAGTATTTACCAAAAATAGGAAAAAAAATCAGATTATTTTGATTGATACTATTGCAAATCTAAAATGCACATAAGATTGTGGATTAATATTTGTGTTGAGATGCTTGCGAATATTTAATGTTCTCATGAAGATATACCCTACCATTCATGAATACCGTTGTTTCTATTGTAGCTGTTCTCAAGTGTTCTTGGAAAGCACAACAGTCCAAACATGTTACAAACCTTTCCCGGCATGTAACCAACATTTCTTTTCTTCAATCGTTAATAAATAGAGTCTTAGTCACGTACTTTTCATTTGTTTTACAGCAGCCAACTGGTAGAGCAATTCTGTGACTATAAAGGAAGTCTTCAATGTACAGAAATCTTCAGCTGCATTCCAGAGCCTTCTGTGAACCTGAAATCTTTCCCAGGACTTGCCACATGTGAAAAGCATATGTGTGGAGAAGAAAGCATTCGCCATTCTTCTCAAGGTGTATCCCTGAACCATCAGGTAGGACACAAACCTCATGGAGACCAGGAATATGGGCAGAAATTGTATAAACATAAGGAGTTTGAGAATAGCTCCAGGTCTCTTCTGTCCCGTAAGGTGCATAAAAGTGCTCACCCTGGAGATAAGCCTAAAAATAAAGCCTGCAAAGAAGACCTATGCATCCGATCTGGTCAGAGGAATGAAGAACGTGACCATGCAAAAAAATCTTACATGTGCAAGCAGTGTGGGGAAGGCTTCACCCATTCCAGTGCTTTTCAAAGACACGAAAAGAGTCACAGTGTTAAGAAGCCCTTCGTGTGTGAACTGTGTGGGAGAGGCTTTGCTCGGATGGGTAACCTTTTAAGGCATCAGACGACGGACACGGGTGGGAATCCTTTTCTGCCTGATCATTGTGGGAGACCTTTTCCTCCTTCCACTTGCCTTCGAAGACGTGTGGGAAGACATAGTGAGAAACCCTATGTTTGTGAGGAATGTGGGAAAACTTTCCTCGATTCTACTTACTTCCGGATACATAGAAGGATTCACACTGGTGTGAAACCGTATGTGTGTAAGCAGTGTGGGAAAGCCTTCACCGCTTCTCGTTACCTTAAATCACATGAACTGACTCACACTCGGGAAAAATCTTACGTGTGTAAGCAATGTGGGAGTTCCTTCACGTTTTGGTATCAGTTTCAGAAGCATAAAGTAATTCACAGTGGTGTGAATCCCTATGTTTGTAAGCAGTGTGGGAAAGGCTTCACTTATTCCAGTTCCCTAAAAACACACGAAAGGATTCACACTGGTCAGAAGCCCTATGTGTGTAAGCACTGTGGGAAAACCTTTGGTAGTTCTGGTAACCTTAAAAGACATGGAAGTACTCACACTGGAGAGAGACTCTATGTATGCAAGCAATGTGGGAAATCTTTTAATAATCACAGTTCCTTTCAGTTCCACAAAAGAATGCATACGGGAGAGAACCCCTACAAGTGTAAGCAGTGTGGGAAGGATTTAGCTTCTTCCTCCTCCCTTCAGAGTCATGAAAGGAATCACTCTGGAGAGAAGCCCTATGTGTGCTTGCAATGCGGGAAAGCTTTCAGTTCTGATAGTTCTCTCCGAAAACATAAAATAATGCACAGTGAAGAAAAACCCTACGAATGCAAGCAATGTGGGAAAGGTTTTCGTCGCTTTTTTGAGGTTCGAGTCCATGAACGAATCCACAACAGTGAGAGACCCTATCAATGTAAGACGTGTGGGAGAGGCTTTTCCAGTTCAACTCATTTGCGAAGACATGTAGCAGTTCACAGTAGAGCAAATAAGGCTGTTTGTAAATAACATGAGAAAGTCGTTTCTTGTGTAGTTCTCACAGAAATCAAGTAACATGGAACAGCTTATGCTATCAATGTGGGAAAATGTCAAACAATTTGTAGAGAAATTATTCTTTTGAATCAATGTGGCTTTTAGTACTAGGAGTTCCCCTCAACTACATGGAAGTAGACATACCAGAGAAAAACCTTTTGGAGAAAAGCTGCAAGCAAAATGAGTTGCTTCTGAGTTCTTTTCATTGTGGAGAAGATGCTAACTAGCTCACACTGGAGAGAAACCTATGCACACAATGTGGAGAGCCTTTAGTTCTTAGGGGCCCTCAAAAGACATTGTGGGCCTCAAAAGTCATTTTGAGGAGAAACCCTTTGTATATAATTTGGTGGTTTGAATAAAAATGTTACAAGTGTGTTTATATATTTGAATGCTCAATTACCAGGGGATGGAAGTGTTGGAAAGAATTATAAGGATTAGAAGGTGTGGCCTTGTTGGAGTAGATGTGAACTTTTTAGAGGAAGAGGGTGCCAGGTCCAATCACTCCTTCTCTGTCTGTGTTTATAGTACAGGATGTAGCTCTCAGCTACTGCTCAAGCACCATGGTTCCAGCCATGATACTAACGGACTAAGTCTCTGAAACTGTAAGGAAGCCCCCAATTAAATGATTTGTCTTATAAGAGCAGCCTGTGTCATGATGTCTCTTCACAGCAATTGAACAGCGACTAAAACACGCAGGGAATCTTACAAATCTTTTACTCATCCTTTTGTAGAAATGAAAGAACCCACTGAGGGTAACCTAAAGTAGAATTTGTGATGTCTCCATTATCACTCCTGGCATTGGAAGGCTTGAGGGAACATTCCTTTGTTCAACTCAAAATTTAAGAAATAGCAAGATTTGGAAAATAAGTTTCATTAAAGGAGACACTTGATTTCAATGTGCCAGTCTCACTCACAGTCTGCTGTCTGGTGTGACCAGCCATGCCCTGGGCTGAGATCCCCTATGAGTATCACTTATCACTGCGTGTGGCCCGAGAGCATGTAATCCTACTTGGGAAGCTGGTGAGAAGGATCCCAAATTTAGAACTCTCTGGACTATATGTTGAGTTCTGGTATTCTCAAGGAAATTAGGTTCCCTTTTGGGGAATTATGTCTTGCTAATCATAGAACTTAACAGTTGAACATAGGAGAAATTTCAAGGACTACTTTAATAAAGTTTGAGTAGCAAGCTATAAGTCTCAGAAGGTGGTTGTATTATCCTGGATTCTCAAACTCTGCCTCTGCATCTCTCTCTCTCTCTCTCTCTCTCTCTCTCTCTCTCTCTCTCTCTCTCTCTCTCTCTCTCTGTCTGTCTGTCACACACACACACACACACACACACACACACACACACACCTTCCTTTTTCCCATTCGGACTTTTAAAATGTTTATTGCATGAGTGGGGTTTTGCCTGCACCTATGTCTGCTGCATATATGTACCTGATGCCTGATGAGGCTGGAAGAGGAAGAGGACATTGGGCCCCCTGGAACTGGAGTTGCAGGTGGTTTTGAGCTTCCGTGCTGGGGTGCTGGGAATTAAACCTAGATCCTCTAGAGAGCAGCCTGTGCTCCTAACCACAGAGCCATCTCTGCGGCCCCTCTTGGCTTCTTTGAAATAGGCCATAGCTAGGTAATACCTGCTAACATGATTGTTATGTAACCCAGGATGACCTCGAATTCACTATAACATTCCTATCTTTTTCTATTTTGGGGGGGTTTTCGAGACAGGGCTTCTCTGTGTCTGTGGAGGCTGTCCTGGAACTCGCTCTTGTAGACTAGTCTGGTCTTGAACTCACAGAGATCCGCCTGCCTCTGCCTCCCGAGTGCTGGGATTAAAGGTATGTGCCACCACCCCCAGCCCTATCTTATTCTATATTCACATTTTGAAATAGTATATGTCCTTTAAAATACTCAGAAAAAAATTATTCACTTTCCCATTACTTCATTTTAAGCAAACGTCCCCCCTCCGATGTTACTATCTTGTCTGTTGTGAATATAGTAACATTTTGCTCCTCCCTGTAGCACATTTTAGTAGTCTCTGATAGTGGAAATGCCTTCGGCAGCTTCAGCTTTATTAGCCACAAACGGGTGCTCAGCCCTCAGGACACTGCTGCAGTTTGACTCGGTTCCCCCTTGCCTACTGGTTTTCCTGGGCGTTCTCCTCCCTGGAAAGGCAGGAGCTTTCTAAAGCCACCCATTCCCGCTATTTAGTCTGTTGCCGTTAGATGCGTTAGGAGCTTGACTTAGTGGGTGAATACGCCTGTGTGAAAGACCGTAAGCCAAATAGCTTGGGGAAGAATGACTTTTCTGACCTCACACTTACCTGTCACTGCTCATCATTGAAGGAAGTCAGGACAGGGACTCACACAGGACAGGGTCCTGGAGGCAGGAGCTGATGCGGAGGCCATGGAGGGTGCTGTTCACTGGCTTGCTCCCCATGGCTGGCTCAGCTGTTTTCTTATAGAACCCAGGACCAGCAGCCCAGGGATGGCCACACCCACCATGGGTTGGGCGCTGCCCCATCAGTCACTGAGAAAATGCCTCTCAAGCCTTGTTAGTCTATGGAGGAGTGTCCCCCGCTTTGGTTCCCTCCTCTCAGATGACTCTAGCCTGTGTCAGCTTGACGGAAAATTAGCCAGAACAGTGTGAGAACATGTAGAAGGACGACAGTGCCCGTGTGTGACTCGCGGCTGGGGCGAGCTTCCTACATGACTGTCAGAGACTGCCAAGATGAGCTTTGTTTTCCTGGTGAGGTCAACTTGGCAAGCTCATACCCAGAAGCAAGCCTTCCAATGTATTTTTTCCAGTGTCCCCAACCTCACCATGTTCAATGTGACATTTAGAAAACTTTTTTATTTTTATATATTTAATTATGTATAGGTATAAGTTTTTTATTCTTTTACATTTATTTCTGTGTATGTGTGAGTATGGACGTGTGTGTGAAGGCACCCCAGAGGCCAGAAGAGGGCAGTAGATGCCCTAGAGCAGTGGTTCTCAATCTGTGAGTTGTGACCCCTTTGACAGACCTCTCTTTCCAAAAATATTTATTTACATTGTGATTCATAACAGCAAGATTACAGTGATGACGTAGAGGAATAATTTTATGGTTGGGGCACCACAACGTGAGGAACTGTGTGACAGTCAGAGCATTAGGAAGTGAGAACCACTGCTGCAGACTTAGCCGTGAGCTGCTGGGGTGGGAGCTGGGAACAGAAGCCTGGACCTGGCCAAGAGCAGCAAGGGCTCTCAGTGACTCAGCTGTCTACCCAGCTCCTCGACCTTAGCATTCATTGTAACCCTGGCATTTGTTTTCAACACAACAAAGAGTCAGCACCGTTGTGTACAGCAGCATGGACAGCAATAGCCTCTGGGGGCACTCACTGCCCTCACATGCTCATACCCGGACCCCCCAGACCTGCAAGTGTAAACGTAGTTAAAAATAAGTATTGGTTTATTTTGCTTTTAGTTTTATCCTTGTCTTGTTTTTAATGCAGGTGTGGTGGGCTCGATAGCTGGGCCCAGGCCTTCACATAAGCTCAGCAAAGGTTTTACCACTAAGATGTATATCTAGCCCCTCCCCCTGCTGTTCCTGGAAGGGACTTGGTCTTTGAGGGAGACCACTACAGTCACAGAGCAGAAAGGCAGATACAGCTGCTGGTTATAGCTCTGAAAGAGTTTTCCACCCAACCCCAAGGTCTACAATTGCCTTCACGCCCTGGAGCTTTCTTCAGCATCCAGTACTAGCCCTCCATGGGGCTCAGGCATGGGTGACGGCAGGATTCTGGGATCTGGAGAGGCCTAGAGTCTGTGACTTGATCTCTACCTTGACTAGCAGAAGTTGCTTGTCTGGCCTGAGACTTACTGGCCTATCTCAGTTTTACTCGAATGCATGCACTGCCCAACGAGGAGTTTGCTCCATAGGTGAGACAATCTGGGTATCCAGGTCGCCTGACCTGCTTGTATAGACAGCGCTGTTGTGGGAATTGAATGAAAACAGAGAGGAAAATGAAAACATGACTGCTCTAGGTAGGGAAGAAAGTTTATTATTGACTTATGTGAAGGCATAGGCAGAGTCAGACACAGGGACATTGGGTAGAGTCCAGAGTGGACATGTTGCTTGAGCCATGTGACTAGAGAGGGGAGGAGAAGAGAGAAAGAAGAGAGGGGAACCAGGTGCAGCAGCCTGGCGGCCTGAAGGCCTGAAGAAAGCTGGTGATCAAGGGAAGGGCAGCCCAGGCCCAGGACTGGACAGTTGAGGTTAGAGCCAAGGTATGCTAAGAAGGCCCTGTAAGGGAGGCTGAGGGGTGCTGGGGAAACTTTTGATGTGCTAAATAGGCACCTGTCATTTGTGAAATCACTGAGCTTGATTGCCTGGCTTGCAGAGCATTGGGGCTACGATTTATGTGTCACCATTCTTGCTCATTTACCCCAGTTTTGCTGTTGTGTTTGTTTGTCTATTGAGACACTGTGTAAATATTTAGTACTTGCTGGCCTGCTGCTCCCTATGTAGGTAGAGGAGGCTGGCACTGAACTCACAGAGCTGACTTTCCTGGCCCTGCCTCCCAGGTACTGGGATGAAAGATGCACACGACCATACCCTTTGATCCCAGTTTGAATCGCCAGCATTAACCAGCAGAGCACACATTGACATGTCACACAGTGACAGACAGCTCAGGTCACAGGATGCCTAGGAGATGGTTAAAGAGGGAGGCCACAGAGACCAGGGTCTGTCCTGAAGTCACAGGCAGAGAGCTGGGGTGGGCCTAAGGGGAAGTCTGGAGGGACCAGATGAGAAGTCTCAGCAGGGCAGGTGCGGAGACTCCTGTGTAAACGGACACAGGATGGTTCTCTGGTATGATTAAGGGCAATGTTTTTATTGTAGATACCAGAGAGAACAGCCCGGGGCATCTGGAGGAGTTCAAAACAGAGACAGAAAGTAGACTGAACATGACCAGCAGACGGGACATGGCCGAGGGCTCTCTGAGAGGGAGGGGGAGTAGCAGGGGGCTACTGAGTACAGAAACCATAGGAAAGCAGCAGGATCAGAGCACAGAGAAAAGCCATAGAAGGACAGCACAGTGAGGAGAATGAGCGGCTGCAGATAGGGGTTTAGTGGAGGAAGGGACATGCTCGAACTGCAGGGAGTTTTGGATAAGGGAGGTGATGAGAAGAGGCTGGATGCCAGCTTGGACTTGGAAATGTGTAACAGGTACTTATGACACCAGCATGCCTTTCATATGCGAATAGGTGCAACAGGCAGCCACATGCCTGCCCAAGGTAAGGAAAATGCCTCCTTTTGGTAGAGGGAAACTGGCTTCCTAAGTTCCCAAGAAAGACTGCCTTTTATCTCCCCTCCAGAAATGCTACTGTTGCCCAGGTTGGGCTCCTGGGACTGCTTTATGGAGTTTGGGAATTGGTATCTCCTTTGGATCTGACATCCCAGCCCTTTGTTGATGATAAGGGAATATGTAATCTCTTCTGTAAATGCTTCACAGCTGGAATTGGGGCTCCAATTGGGGCTGAAGGAAGCAGAAGAGACGGAGCAACCGCAGTGGCTGGACTAGTTTACACTGGCTTTCTGCACGGCCAGGGCTGGCTGATTCTGCAGTACCACCCAGGGCTAGCATGATGTAGGTCTCTT